TTATCTGCGACGTAATTGGCTATTTTTTTAAGAGGTGGTGTTTGTCTCATTGGTAGGAACGTTTCAAGTATAACACCGCGGACTTCCACAACTGTACACAAGTAAGATAGAACATTTACGATCAATTAAGCTCAAAAAGCTCTAATCTAACCGAGCGGAAGTATTTCCGTTCCGAGTTGCAATTAGCTGAATCAGTTAATGTATACTCTAAAGCCAGTCTAGACAGTGCTAAGAAACCTAAGCTATGTTTTAATTGCTTAAGATAACTCTCGACCTTTGGCAGATGTGAGGTAAAGTTCAATATTCCTATATTTATTGTTATAATGTAAAAAATCATACTAATATTATAAATGCCAATGTTTTGATGGATGGATCTTTTTTAGAGTTTATAGCCCAAACGCCTGAACGGATGTTGATGAAATTTCGTATAGATTTAGAGGATAATCTGGAAGAACGCATAGGCTACTCACATTAATTTTTTTAACTCCATGCAGATGGATTCGCGGGCGAAAGCTAGTTTCAAATAATTAAGTCAACATTTTCTAAGTACACTGAAGTTACACGAGCAAAGGTTAAGTATTTATTTATATACAACGATTATAAGAATTCAATATCATCTATTTGATTTCTAACCCCACTTAGAAGCTTCGATAAAACTTGGCAAATTGAGGTCCTAAGCAAATAAAAATATTGAGTTCCCAAAGCCAACATGCTCCCTCCTCGGTAAAACCCGATTATTATTTGATTTACCTTCCTTAATCTTTGATCGCTTAAAGGTTTAAGCTCTTAATACTTTTAATATAATAAAGTAGAGAAAGCTTCCGACTGTACAATTTTCGAAACTTACGGCCGAATATTGAAACGAATCTTAAACAGTTCGCTTCGTAAACGCCGCTTACAACTAAAAGAAGTCAAAGTTTTATTAGACTTTTGAATTTTATGCGTGTCATTTCAAACAGGAGCGTCGATGGCTCAATGGTTTAAGCACTTGACTTGTAATCTACAGGTCTTGGGTTCGAATCCCGCCATGTACCAATGTGATTTTCGATTTTTCGAATTTTCATATGCACATAAGTTACCCGACGTTCTTACGGTGAAGGAAAACATCGTGATGCAACCTGCACATATCGGCAGAGAAATTCAAAGATAAGTGTGAAGTCAACCAACCCGCACTTGGCCAGCGTGGTTGACTATGGCCTAGTCACCCTTATTTAGGGTAGGCTCCGAGCCCCTCGGTGGGGACGTATGGTGAGCTGGTGATGTGATGATTTTAAACACTATTACATGTTTCACTTTTTTATAGATCCCAAAACTAGTAGACTTTTTTACTTAGTTTTTTACACAATGGTATATTGTATCAATATATCTTAGTAGTATGTCATGGAGGAAAGGAAAATGTATTAAAAATTGTAAACTTTATCTGCTTACGCTTTAAATAACTAAAGATTATATTACCCAGTTTTAAAAACATTCCAGGAACTATATAAAATAACAATAGTTTATGTAACGTTAGCGCTATTAAATTACACAAAGGCACTATCATAAAATTGCCGGGAAGTTTGCGACATCAATTACGTACGGGGCACTATTCATTGTAGAGCCAGGACAAATTCCACATTACAACCGAATGAACTTTCACAAGGAAAATTTAAACTTCTCTGTATGTTTGTAATGTGTTTGACTCGGTAATAATATTTATAATTAAACTGTAATACGTTTAAAATAAAAACGTGCTTGAAATTACGTCTTGTGACGTCATTGGTCTCAAATAATTTCGATATAACAAAACAATTGGTCATCGACCTCCCCTTTTCTATAATGAGTCGACACAATATGTACGCTTCCATACATGTATTCACCGAGTAATTTATTCACTAAAATACTCTCGTTTTTATTTTTGCTCCACTGAACTATTTTATTGTTCAGATACGTTTAATTACTAAGGTACTTGCAACCCGAATAAATTAATACTCACTCCTTGCATAATGTCATCCTTCAATGTCGACAACTATTGCATACTAGCTGTCCCGGTGCGGCTGCATCCGCATGAAATTATAAAAAAATTATTTCATTATTTACATTTGTCCAATAGCAAATGTCAAAATGACATGACAAACCTTAGCAATCTTTCTTCCTTGTTGTTGGCAGCAAATTATGGTCTCTTTCCCACATTAGGGCTTTTATCCAAAATATTTACCACCTAAGTTTATTTGCGTGAAAATATATAGCCTAAAGCCAGACGTAAGTGTAGGGCTTTTTATTAAAAAAAAGAATTAATCAAAAATATGCTGTAATTGCTGACATCTAAGGCAACAAAGAAATGTATGTTTACGCTTTATTATAATAGTATAGATAAAAAGTGTACAAATATTATTATAAAATACAATTGTATTAAAATATTGTACAATTTTCTAATAATTGAAGCGAAAATACTTGAATAAAGTGCGCAACTCATCTCGGAATTGTGTTGCGCAGTTAATGTTTATCCACAAACAAGAAACTACTGCGATATTACTTCAATTTCTTTCTCTCTACTTATCTTTGAGTATTTACAGTGACACACGGACGTAAAGACTGACCAACATGTATTACATCGGGTCATTTAAAAACAATAAGTGTAAAAAAATAAAAACACTATTTAGTACATAAATAAGGGAGAAAGTGTGAAAACAATTGCAAATTGAATACAAGGCCTCATACTCTGGTTACATATATTAATAATATTGCTTGAAAAAACTAATTTAAAGTAAGCGACATAGCAGATAAAAGTTGTGTGTCGCTCAAAATTTTATCAATTCTTTTTAATTTGCATTTATATTAACTAAATAATATTTACAACACACTGCAATAATCAGGTAAACATAAATGTAACAAAATTGATTCAAATATTATCTAAGCCTTTGTTTAAATATTTTTCTAAATTTACAGATATATTTCGAAATTCCATGAGTAAAATTAAAAGAAATGATATTATTTTAAGTCATTTTTAAACTGATATAGATATGATATTTACGGTTTATGAAATGATACAGATTTTGTTTTCTGTGCGACGTTCTTCAGAGCGGTGTGTAGTCTCTCTACGTACAATCTAACCGAAGAGATGCGATATAAATGCTGTAACTCTCTGGGGTACTGAACGACGGCATTCAGTAAATGTTGGCTGCTGAACTCAGATTACAATCGTCCTATACTTTTTTAGATTTAGGCCTTGATAAGGTACGGAGACTTTAAAACTTGCATGTATCATCATCATCATCACCAGCTCACTATACGTCCCCACCGAGGGGCTCGGAGCCTACCCTAATAAAGGGTGACTAAGCCATAGTCAACCACGCTGCACTGCGGGTTGGTTGACTTCACACATATCTTTGAATTTCTTCGCCGATATGTGCAGGTTGCATCACGATGTTTTCCTTCACCGTAAGAACGTCGGGTAAATTATGTACATATGAAAATTCGAAAAATCCAAAATCACATTGGTACACGGCGGGATTCGAACCCAAGACCTCTAGATTACAAGTCAAGTGTTTAAACCACTGAGCCACCAACGCTCTTGCATGTATAAATTAATTATATTCCCTATTTTAATGTATTTAAAGTGTAACTAACTGTTGCTCGCGACTTCGTCCACGTAGAAATAAAAAATAATAGCCTATTTACTCACGGATAAACTACCTTTCTGACGGTGACAGAATTTTTAAAATTAACCCAGTAGTTTTTGAGTTATTTCAATACATATAAAAATAAACATCTTTCCTCTTTAAAATGTTTGTATAGATATTTTTAGGTAAAAATTACTTGCGTCTTGTACAAGTTTTACCTGACCACTTCGAATGTTCAAATAACTGCAATTAGTACTAATGGTGTGTAGCCGGCTTTATGCAGCTATAAAAATGATTATTAGTTTTACGCAAAACACAGCCCAAATAAAGTAAGATTCCTAGATTATTTAAAAAAGGACTAGTTACAATTATATATTTAACCTAAAAAGGTCTTACTGTAATATATTCATTGAAATGTAAATAAAATAAACAAATTAAAATGTTAAACTGATATGATACAGAATTACAATTTCATTGACCTTAATTCATATTTATTACTTAAAATTGATAAGACGAAACTTAATTACTTTTTAATTTTAGAGATACGTAAAATTATTAAAGAGACCTCTTTGTAGAAACTATTAAAAAGCTATAAAAACGTTGAAAATCTAAAACCGATACACTGATCCATTAAATTTAATTTATAAAAAAAAAATCGTCTTCAAGTATTTCGCATGCCGACGCGAAAGCGGATCGGAACCGAAGCGAATTCCATTTTTAATACTATTATGAGACTAGACTTCGATATTGTTTGTTCAAAACAAGCTAATGAAACCAAATCTAACATTAGTAAAGTCAACGATCTGTTTTCACAAAATCTTTGACGCTTCTCATTTGAAGAAGGATGTTAGTTATAAATGTGGAGAGGTACATCGGTAGAGGTAGACCTAGAAAGAGAGGAATGGATTGCGTAAAAGGTGACATGATCAAGAAGGGAGTGATGACTGAGATGACGGATGATGGAGTGCTTTGGTGGACGAAAACCCGGTGCGCCGACCCTACGGAAGTAGGATAAGGCAGGGGAGATGAGGATGATTTGACGCTTCTCATTTGTTTTGTCTTTCGAGTATGTAAGCTACCATTAGTAAAGGTTCCCTTCAGTTATATTTACAATCAGACTGCACTTGTATATGCAAATCTGATAATTGTAAAGTACTCTGTACAATCCATACAGATAAAACTAAAGGTCCACACTTACATCTTATTAAAATTTATTTTTCAAATAAAAACATACGCAAAACCAACACACGATAGCACATTTTCCTTAATTATAAATGTACATATTTAACGCTTGAATGTAGAACAAGAGTCTTAATTATAAAAATAATTTGACGTTAGTTAAACAACTGTTTTATTAAAACGTATCTAGTTAAACACACATGATCATCAGAGGCACTACAGCCGCGGGTGGGCCTGGGCCTGGTCTAGTAAATTCCTCCATATCGGTCTATCTTGGGCTTAGTTAAACACACGTGTCGTTAAAAATATTTTAAGGTCTTTAGTGGATCAAAACTATTTGACATTTAGTTCATTCTTTTTATAACATCGGGTGCTAAAATATAACTTTATTTACAGTTTGTAATAATATAAATTACATCAAACGATTTCGGATTTGAATTTTAAATCGATATTGAAATCGATGATGAATTTTTCATTCAAGTGTATTATAACCTATGTTTTGATACTCTTTGGTATAAAATGTGGAGGGTACAAGATATTGGCCGTGTTTCCCATCCCTGCAGGAAGTCATAGGATATTAGGGAATGGGGTAGTCAATCACTTGCTTAAGGCGGGACATGAGGTATGTATTTTATTCATTTATTTATTACTATGTTTTGCAGATCCGATTTACTGTGTTCGATTCTTGAATCATAAAAGAAGTTCGGACAAGCAGGTGATTGACCCACTGTGCCCTAGGCTGTTGACGGCGGATAGAGCGAGCTGGCGGCGTACTGTGGACGCCCTCTGCCCCAGTTTGGGGACATAGGAATAGAAGAGAGAGATGTTTTGCAGACGACTTCATCCACATAAAATTACATATATCTATATCTATGTTTGATATTATAAAGAGGAAAGATTTATATTTTTGGATTTTTGTATGTATTCATATAACTCAAAAACGACAGGGCCGATTTCAAATATTCTTTCACCATTAAAAAGCTACGTTATCGCCGAATAACATAGGCTATGTTTTTACTATTTTTTAGTTACACGTGGACGAAGTGGCGAAGCAACATTTAGTAAAAAATTTAGTCTTCTCAGTGATAATGTAGCCTTTTAAACATGAGTTTTAACTTCAGTATTTTAAAAAATAATTGATATTTCAGGTTACTTACATCACGCCGTTTCCTGAAAACAAAACCGTTCCTAATCTCCGATATATTTCAGTCATTGATAATATCAACCATCTTAATGGTATATTTATAACTAGTTATTTTACTTTAAAAACATTAAATAGTACATAATAGGTACTATCGGGGTATCTGACGGTGGTCCACCTTAAAAACTATAGACGTTATATACGCGCGATGATGCGGAACGATAACTAAGAGGAAGCATCTTCAAATATATTTATACGCAAAAAAGTCGGACTGTGTGTTATTTCGTCGTTTGCACAACTAATTGCTATTGATTTTACAAGATAATTTTCTGAAAGTGGAACGCCGCGGAATTCCGCGATTGTACCTAAGAATGTTCAGTTTTTTTAAATCTAAAATTCTTTATAATCATAGTAAACTCAATACGAAACTAAACAATAATTTTATATTCTAGTTACGTTGATAAATCTAAAAAACCTGATGACGAGAGACATAGAAATGGATCAAGACAATATCTTCAACATGCTGATGAATCTTACGAGAAATACTTTAAAAAGCGAAAACGTATCGGAACTTCTTAATGATCCGACTGAGAACTTCGATTTGGTGTTAGCTCAGTGGACGTTCAATGAAGTATTTAGCGGGTAAATATAAATGTTTCCATATAAAGTGTTTGTATAAAAATTTACTCTCGTCTCTATCCTTTTCCTTAAAGTGACAAGGATGGGAATATTTTCATAAGCCGAGTTTAACCAGTAAATAATTACTAGTTACGTAAACTAGTTAACGTAAAGTGTTTAGAATTTTTATATTAATGATGTGGACGATTAATAAATAAAAATTTTCATCATAATAATTGCGAAATATTGATATTTTACCTCACTCAATTTTCTATAAACTCTTATCTATGTCTTTAATTATATTATAAAGAGGAAAGATTTTTATTTTTGGATTTTCATATGTATTAAAATAATTAAAAAACTACTGGGCCGATTTCAAAAATTCTTTTACCATTAAAAAGCTACTTCGAGTAACATAGTCTATATTTTTTAATTTCACGCGGACAAAGTCGCCAGCAATAGTATTTAATATTTTAATTACATAAAACGTTTGCTTGCAGTTTTGCAGCCGCATTTAACTGCCCATATATTTGGTTCTTTCCTTACGAAGCTAGTTTTACTGCACTAAGTTTGATCGACGAAGCGACCAATCCAGCTTACACCGCTAATATCGAAATGAGGGATATACCTCCTTTCACCTTTTGGCAGCGCTTTAAGCTGCTGAAATTCCAGATAACGAAGACATGGAGAAATTACTTGTAAGTATAAGTACATTTAATCGTCGTGTTATTTTAAAATATCCGAGCGTAGTGCTGTAATTATAATTTCTAACAATGATTAGAACAAGAAACAGTTTTTTGTGTGAAACACATTGAAGCTCAAGTAAAATCTTACTAAAATTTCAAATGCGTAAGTTTAGATGGATGGATGTTTGCTAGTTTGTAGATTAAATTGCTGAAAGGATCCGATGAAGGCACAGATGTAGAACTTTGTCTGGAAGAACACATATTCTACTTAGTTTTTTTTTAATCCCGCGCGTACGGAGTCGTATCAGTAGCTCAGTGGTTTAAGCACTTGACTTGTAATCTACAGGTCTTGGGTTCGAATCCCGCCGTGTACCAATGTGATTTTCGATTTTTCGAATTTTCATATGTACACAATTTACCCGACGTTCTTACGGTGAAGGAAAACATCGTGATGCGACCTGCACATATCGAAATTCAAAGATATGTGTGAAGTCGACCAACCTGCACTGGGCCAGCGTGGTTGACTATGGCCTAGTCACCCTAATTTAGGGTAGGCTCCGAGCCCCTCGGTGGGGACATATAGTGAGCTGGTGATGATGGTGATGATGATGTACGGAGTCGCGGGTCGAGAGTTCCATTCATAGTGCAGCTCTTGAAAACTAATTTAATTCTTTATTTTATATTTTAGCTATCAACGATACATCGAAAATGAAGTGTTTGATAATGCTTTCAAACCAATATTAACAAAGAAGAATAGAACATTACCAGATTATGAAGTGTTGCGTCTAAACGCTTCTCTAATCTTTGGAAACTACCACGTGTCTATGGGACAGGCAATAAGGTTGCCACAAAACTATATTCCTATCGGTGGCCAACATATCGATGAAGTTGTACCGGTATTGCCTAAAGTAAGTTTGTCACAACCCTGATTGTATTATTTATCAGTTTAAAGACTTCTTTTGACTAAAAAACCACAAATTCTTGATTGATCAGACCACTAATATTGTTAGTAGCAGTTCTACTAACAAGCATTTGATTCTAAAAGTGGGCGCACACCTTTGACTAAACTATCGCACAACAGTTGTGCGATTGTCGATTGTTTCGCAGCCAATTCAACTGTTTAGTTGCACAACTAGAAATCGAGTAGTGTAGCACCTCCATATAAGCTCATAGGAATCAATGCGACTAAACAGTCGTGCGATACTTTAATCAAAGGTGTGCGTCCGCTCTAATAAATCACTCAATACTTTGTCAATGTAGGAATTGAAAAATATCATGGATGAAGCAACAAACGGCGTTATCTACTTTAGTATGGGATCAAATTTGAAAAGCAAAGATCTACCCGATTCCATTAAACAAGGACTCATAAAAATCTTCAGTGGATTGAATCAAACTGTTTTATGGAAGTTCGAGGAACCTGTACCTAATCTACCTAAGAATGTCCATATCCTACAGTGGGCACCACAGTTAAGCATATTATGTAATTATTTTTCTATTCTATTTTCTTTGAATAAACTATCGCACAACAGTTGTGTGATTTTCGATTATAGATTGTTTCGTAGCCAATTCAATTGTGTAGTTGCATCAAAAATCAAGTAATGTGCGGACCTTCATATAAGCTCATAATAATCAAAGAGTGACCAAACAGTTGTACGATTGGATTTAAAGGTCTGCGCGCGCGCTTACTCAATTCTGAACAAAAGTTTTTTCTTGTGTCTGTGCGGAAAAAACTTTGAAACTACTCCAAGGCTGTCTTATCTTACTAATATTATAATAATATCTTACTAATAATAATTTAAATGGATGGATGTTTAGTAGAGTTTGCCGCCTAAACGGATATACAGATGTCGATGTAATTTGGCAAAAATGCAGGGAATTGTCTAGAAGAACACATAACCTTCTCCAGGGTGATGCATTTCAAACTTTTATATCATTCCAGCTCATCCTAACTGCATCCTACTGATCAGCCACGGCGGTCTACTATCAATGAACGAAGCAATTCATTTCGGAGTACCACACATATCTATACCAGTGTTCTACGACCACCTGTATAATGCTGATAAATCCGTGAGCAGAGGAATTGGAGTCAAGGTTGATCTTACTGATAACTTAGCTGAAGATCTGAAGGAAGCTATACATGAAATGCTAAATAATTCTATGTAAGTATCCCAAAGAGATATACGTAAGAAAGAAGGTATTTTGTTCGCTTACGTAGATGTATGAATGTGGTAGAGATGAAAGAAATGCGCCAGAGACAGGAAATGTTTTAATTTATAATTTCTGCAACCCCTTTTTGCACAATCGCAGAAATCCGTGATGTTCCTCTTCAGGAAATATTGTGTGTTCATTGCAACAAGACAAATTCCACCTCTACCTACAAATTAGATAGCAGTAAGTGCAAATTAAGGGATAATATGAAAAAGAAACTAGCCGTGTTTCACTTACTAATTTATCAGTTATACATTTACATTTATAAGCTGCGTTGTATTATATTTTATTCCGCCTCTCGTTTTAAAATGTCTCTACTTCAACTTGTGTAAGAAATCTTTCTGCACCCACCATTTATTTCGAATCCCATCATTAGGTACCGAGAACGTATGAAGGAAGCATCCTTCATCTACCACCACCGTTTGGCACCACCAGGTAAAGTCCTGGTCCACTGGGTAGAGCACGTGATAGCCACCAAAGGGGCTCTACACCTTCGTTCACCAGCTCTCCTGATGCCCTGGTACCAGAAGATATACTTAGATCTAGTTTTATTGTTAGTTCTAGGAATAATACTGACGTTATGGATTTTACGTAGATTGTATTATATAAAAATGCAGTATAAAGTAAAAGCTAAAATGCTATGATTTAAATAAATTATTGTAAAAGAAATTGAGGACTTTCTTTTTAATTGTCGTAAGATGAAGATTCTAACTTATTGTGTATTTGAAAATTGGTGAATAGAATTTAAAACTGTGTAGTCGTGGTATTGCACCGGGTGAACCGACCCATTCGTGCGAAGATGTTAAAGCGGGCTCTACCACTGTCCCAACCGCTTAGGCCACACAGAAGACAGGCGCGAAATGGAAGCAATTCCGTGCTTCGTTATGAGTGTGGTGCCCGAGCCCTAATTTAAGCCCCTTTACCACCTTTTTATTATAAAGAGAGAGTGGGAAGTGGAAGTCGATTTGACGGTGGAGGAGATGCAAAGGAAGGGGAAATATCTTCTTTATGCGTGTCTGCTCCTTCGTCGTATAAGGGTAGGCACGCATGTGCAATTGCGGGTGTCTATGGGCAGCGATCGCTTCGCCATTTTGGCGGATTTAGGTGGCGCTTGCTGGTTAGCCACGTTATGTTATAAAAAAAGTCAAACTATAACATCCATCCATCTATTCCGCATTCATAATATTAGTAAGATTTCTATATGAATATTTTTATCTGAACTATCATATTGCAAAAGTTAAGTAACCATAAGTAAAGAATTATCGGCTTTGCATGCTTCATCTACAGTCCATTTATTAATCAAGCTAATCCCAGTTAAGCCTCATTAAAGCGGCGGAGCGTGTAGGGTCAATTACCGACAAGTGTAGATAAGTCACGGCCAACATTATAGATGGTTACACTATTAAAATGGATTATATTTTAAAACTAGCTTTCGCCTTCGTCCGTCTGCGTGGAATTAAAAAAGTGAGTATCCTATGTGTTCTTTCAAACTAACCTCTACATCGATATCAAATTTTATCTAAATCCGTTCAACCGTTAAGGCTACAAAGTCTAACAAACATCCATCTAATCTAAACTTTCGCATTTATAATATTAACTAGTATGACTTAAGATTCTTGTATTTTATGCTAACCTAAAATAAGCGAAACGGCTGATAGAGATGTCTGGAACAGTATTAGCTGAACCTCCATAGACAAAACTATTTAACTACGTCGTAGTCTTAGACACCAAAAATTAAACAAAAAAATGGGACCCACCTGCAAGCATTACCTTTCGGATAAAAAAAGAATTATCAAAATCGGTCCACTAGCGGCGGAGTTATGCCGTAACAACACATAAAAAAAACATACCGACGAATTGAGTACCTCCTTCTTTTGGGAAGTCGGTCAAAAAGGAGAGGAATCTTGTCAGTTATATTTGTAAATAACTTTATTATCTGTGAATAATTAATAACTTTGAAACATTACAAAATAGGTGAACTAATTTTCTTTCTTCAACGGCGCTACGCCTATGAACTCGGTGATATTCTCCCATGTTTGAACGTCGATTTTTGTCATGAGATCGCATTCCATGTAAGCCAACTCCACTGCGAAATAAAAAAATATACTCAGTAAGATTCTAACATTTAAGTTATTTTACTGTTAATTAGCAAATGTTGACAAAATAAACAATGCTTCAAAAAAAAAATTTAGGTTATCTAAAGTACTGAGCGCGCGTAAAATAAAAGTAAATTGAATTGTTTTTTAAAAGTATTTTTATTTGAATTACCTCTCAATTGTGTTATATTGTTTACCAGTTTCTTCATATTGAATAACTCCTTTTCAATTGATGAAATGACAATATCAAAGAAATCCGGATTATTTTGAAAAGCCGAGAATTTATTTAACTTTTCCATTTTTGAAATGTCTCTGATCACAGAACTCAAATCGTTTGGCGCCAATTTTGTTTTTTTTTTCATCTGTTTTTGTGACACGGGTCATGATGTGTGGAGCCAAATTGTCTGATTCATTGTTTTTAAATCTTTTTATTTGTATTTCACTTTCATGTTGATTGAAAAATAAAAAGTATTTTACTTTTACATATATTGCAACATGTTAAAATTGTTATAGGATTTAATTTTGACAGTTTATAAATAGGTTATATTAAAATTGAATTTCCCGCGTAATTGGAACGGCGGTTGTTTTTTTTTTTAAGTAAAATGTAGGTCACGTGGCGCACGCAGACTGGAACATTTCGCTCGGGACAGTACCGAATCGAACGTCAATTGGTTTAACAATCGATAACTGGTGCAAACAGTTAAACAATGATGCCAATCATCGGCGGCGAGCGAACTAAATCTGTTTTTGGATGACTTTTGGTATGTGTGGCGCGTCACTGAATGTCATTGGATTTATAAATAAGATCAGCTCCAGAAATAGGTGGCTACAGGTTTTCCAGGCGTACCGACCGAAATAAAACAGCCTGGATTCTGTTAACAATATTATTGTCTTAGCTAACGGCGCGGGCGTCGATCCGGATCCGCAGTGAGTGTTATCAACTAGAGCGGGAGATTTTACGATTGTTTTTTTTTTTAAATATGGATGACGGTGAAAGTCAACAGTTCTCTTTACGCTGGCACAACCATCAGGTAGGTAAGTAATTGTTTTTTTTATACACTACAACGCAAAGGTACACTTTTACTATTTTACGGACATAATTTTCATTAACAACGCTTTATACAAACTATGCAATTAATACATCTGTATAAAATACATAATAAAATATCTTAACGTGTATTTTAGTAGCTTTATTAATTTTCAAATTAAATACACCACGAATCAATTTCATTTCAGTTTTAAAAATGTTTTACATGTATTAAATAAACAATATAACTACCAATGCAATAACTAAATCGATAACAATTATTCACATAACGTTTGTAAATAACTCACAATACTGTACAACATAAAGTAGAAAAGAAAACACAGTAATCAGTCATTTATTAAAAAAACCTACAAAATGATATATATAAGCTGTTCTTATTTTTAATCGAGTTGCGTATACTAAGATCGTTAGGATATTAATAAATAATTTTATTAGTTAAAAAAATAATTATCTAACGCACCGCAAAATAACTTATAGCATAAATAATTTAACACATTAATGTAGATAAAAAAACAAAACATCAAAGCATAAGATAGCAACACTTTAAATACTTAATAATTTATTAACAACAGGGTCGTAATAATCATGTAGGTCTCTAATAGTCCCTTGAGGGCTTTGAGCTGGGGCCTTGGCGCTTTAACGCCGGATAAAAAAGGCCCTAGGTAACAGATATTATAATTATAACATGTTTTAAAACTACTTTATTATACAGAGCAGTATAATCGGAGCCCTCGGTCGTGTGCTGAGCAGTGGCGCCTTCAGTGATGTGACGCTAAGCGCCAACGGTACTTCAGTGAGAGCCCACCGTCTTATATTGGCGTCATGTAGTCAATACTTCGATCAGTTGTTCAAGGTACCTCTTATCAAACTAATATTATAAATGTGAATGTCTAGATGCATGGATCTTAGAGTAAGCCTAAACTGCTGAATGGATCTTGATGAAATTTGGCATAATTGTAGAGGTTAGTCTGAAAGAACACGTAGGCATACTTACTTTTTTTTATTCCACGCCGCCAGAGTCGCCCACAAAAGCTATTAAATTATCATATTTCTGTTTTCGAAATTACGAACTAAAAAATGTATTCAGGTTTAAATAGAGTTTGTTAAAGCAATTATAGACAGGTTACAAATTCAACATTTGTGTCATCAATTAATGGTTGACTTTTAAAAAAAAAAAGGCAGTGTAATGAGGATAAACGAAAAGAAATTGGACCTCACCTCATTAGTCAGAAGTTAAAGATGTTTTCGAATAAAAAATATTTCGTATTCCACGAAATCATTGTGCCTCTTGGCTGATTCATCCAAAAGCTGTTGATTCCGCGAGGTTTTTAAAAAAAAAACTACCATACCGGGAGCGTCTTTTATTATGCATTCCAATTTTGAACTGACTTCAAAAAGGAGGTTATTTTTTATTTATGTTACTTCATGCGATTGTTTCGGAATAATAGCAAAAGCTATTATTCCGACTTTAATGCAACCTTTTATCAATGACAATTAAATCTATTATTAGTTCGAAAACTCTTCACTATTAACTATAACCGTCAGTGCCAAAATGGTGGAAATCGAATAGACACAAAATACCATAATTTTTATCATAAACTAGCCCTTGTCATTACGGAAGTTAGGCAGTGTATGCTTTTCGTTCATCTCTTTCAGCCGTCATATCTGGATTCAAACCACAGTTTATAACCCGTTCATTTAAGCGCAGTTCACACTTCGCCAGTTCACTACGTCAGTGACGCTCAATAACTGGACTGTCAGTCAAGTTAACTGTCCTGGCTAAATGTGTACTGTACATTATTTGTCAGTGCTTCATTGTTCTTTTGTTTCAGGATATCGAAACTGAAAATAACGCATTGGTTGTAGTACTTGGTTGTGAAGCGATAGAATTGAGGTTACTACTCACTTTCATGTATACAGGTGAGGTGACAGCTTCTAAGAGGAATCTACCATCGTTGCTCCGATTGGCACAAACTCTAAAGGTGTCCGGACTAACTGACGCTAATACGGTGAGTTTTAAAATATCTTTTAAGGTTATAATCATACTAATATTATGCGAAAGTTTAGATGGATGGATGGATGGATGTTTGTTAGAGTTTGTAGCCTAAACGGCTGAACGGATTTCGATGGAATTTAGCATAGACGTAGAGGATAGACAGGTAGAACACATAGGCTACTTAGATTTTTTTTTAATTCCACGCGAACGGAGTCGCGGGCGAAAGCTAGTTTTTTAATATTATTATAGCGGGCGCACACCTTTGACTAAACTATTTCACAACTGTTGTGCGATTGTCGATTGTTTCGCAAACAATTCAACTGTTTAGCACAACTAAAAATCGAGTAGTGTACCTTCATATAATCTCATAGGAATCAGAGCAAGACTAAACAGTTGTGCGAGAGTTTAGTCAAAGGTGTGCGCGCTTTTACAATCGAAGTTTACTGCACTTCGATAACGTTCGTAATTTCTAAAATGTTACCGGTAGAAATCAATTTGGTTTTGTTTTAAAATTGTCACATTATTATTTAGAATTGCATTTTTAGTTTAAGAGTAATATCTTAGCTAGATTACTTTTAGTTTAAGAAGGAAAAAAAATCTATGGATAAATTGTTTAAACTTCGTGAGACTTTATTATAACTAATTGTTTAAAGGCTGGCACTATTTTTCCAGCGTAAAAGACTAGTTTCGGACCTTTCGGGGTCCAACTTAAGCTGGTTAATAAGTTAGTTTCAATCCTCTCTTCCAGAACTCAACCTTAACTTCTAATGAAACAGAACTGGTCACAGAACAAAGTAGTACATACGCCAATCTAGAAACAGTTAAACAGGACATTCAGGATACTACTAACATCTCTGCAAGCAATTCCCCAAATCATTACGAAAATTCACAGAACGATGGGAAATTAGCAGAATATATTGGAGAATACAGTCGTACTGAAAAAGACAGATTGAGTAAATTGGATCAGATAGTACAGAATCTGTACAGTACACACAAAATTACGAATCCCATAACGGCTATGACTCCGCCATTATTACCCAGTTTAGCAGGTGAGTGAAATTAGAACACTCTGTGTATTATTTAGTCTATGAACAATGTAAGTGATATAATAAATTTGAATTAATGAAAAATAAAAAAAAAACATTTGTTTTTAGAAAAAACTCCACAAACTTAACATAATTTACATTTTTTTTCACAATAAACACAATCTAAAATTAACACAAACAGTAAAGTATGTAAGTATGAAAACGAAGATGTAGGCTAGATTTCTTATTACCAAATTGTTCAGCTACCCTCCGTACTAGTATGAAACTGTACGGCGGCAATGCGGCCATTTCTGTATGCTAAAAATTGTTACAGTACAAGCAAAATACACAGATGCAACGAAATATAAAAGTTAAATAAATTTAAAATGATTCCTTAAATATAAGTTGCAAATAGTTTGTGTCACTGATTATTTCCGTTAAGATAGTTTGTTACTCAGAGTTATTATATGGTTACTAAAGGCGTTATAGCCTATAGCATAGATTTAGTATGAAGATATCTATTAAGGGACTTTTTTTATGATTGAGTTGCCACTGTTTTAATTTTGCCTTGAAGAGACATTTACAGCTTCACCGGGCTTAAGTATTATAGGCTCAGCCTGCTTAAACAATTTTAAATGCGATATTTAGGGCCTATCCCACCATAGGCTGATAGACTCGGATAGCTTAATGTAACGTCACTGTCATATATAACAAAATCCGATATTGAAAAATATGTGATGGACATATTTTACACGTTACATTGTTAGTAATTTACGATTTGGTGGGACAGGCCCTAAGAAATCTTTATTATGCATTTCTTAGATTACCAAATTTTATTACTTCAGAATCACTTGAACCATTTGAACGTAAATGGCGGTCCAACGCATCAGTATGCGGAGTTTGCAATAAACGTCTTAGCAATCAGTACAATTTGCGTGTGCATATGGAGACGCACGCCGGCAGACGGCACGCGTGCCGCGCCTGCAGCCACGTGTCCCGCTCGCGGGACGCGCTGAGGAAACACGTCGCGTACAGACACGCTCCCAACATGCCTTCGAGAGCTCATCGCGGTACGACGTCCACGAGTCGACTGGACGGGTAACAGTCAATTGACTGTCTGTATTCATGACTGTATTTTGCAAATTATAAGTTTTGAAATATGTTATGTTAGTATAAAATATTTAAAAGACATTAAATACAATGATAGCTGTTTATATTATATCGTTTAAATAATTTTGTAGACAAAAAAATGTTGCCTTGTGTCGTGAGAGAAAAAGTAAATTACCTACTATTTATATATTTTTTGTTTAAAATAATTTTGGCATTTCTAACTTTCGCAACTCTACATTAAATTCCGTGTATACCGTTTTTCTGATGTTATTTATTGTTTAGTTATTCTACTTTTTAATGCTACCACTTTTACTTACCTATTGTATATTTGCTACCGAAATTCTGATTATTTAAAAATGGAATGAAAAACAAAACAATGTTACATTTTGTACCAGTTCTGTTTAGACAGTAATTAGTTTTTATTTTTTTTTTAATAAATGCAACTTTTTCCTTCTAATGTATGAGTTTATGATGCATTTGAAAATATCTTTAATAAATGTTTTGTTCTGTCCTTTTATGTTTAAGTAAATTAAACAAAACTGATTATTAAAAAGACAATATTAAACACTTAAGGCCTGTCCCACCAAATTGTAAATTGTCTGATAACAATCCAACGTATGAAATATGTGATGGGAAATATCGAATTTTGTTACGTTATCTGAGAGTGACTTCACTTTTAAGCTATCTGAGCCTCTATCAGCCAGTAATGGGAAAGGCCCCTAATATTTTTAATGTTTTTAACTATTTTTAATGTTTTCTAGTCAATGTTTGTGATTGTTATATTTTCAAATATTTTATTCTACGTTATTTAATCTGTTACTTTAATTTTAGTAAAAAAAAAGACATTATAAAAGACAATTAAATTAAGAATAAATATATTTACTGAAATTTATAGAATTTCATTTATTTCTCGGATATGTTAAGAATGACTTGATTTTATTTACTAGCTTACGCTCGCGACATTGTCCGTACCAAAAAAAGAAAAAAAAATTGGCAGCCTGTGTATTCTTCGAGATATTCTACATCTGTGACAAACATCCGTTAAGCTGTTTTGGATACATGTAGTAACATCCATCCATCCAAACTTACGCATTTTCATTAGTAAGATTGTAAAAAATAAAATACATTCTACAAGTGTACACAATTTATTTATCATATTTCGTTTTAGTAGAAATTACATTTAAAAAAACGACAAAAAAAAATCATCACATATGATAGTACAAAAATACTGTTTTAGAACATATCTAAAATTTGTTCTCGAATACTTGAACAGACGAAAAATAACTATTTTAGTGAGAAAATTGGACAAAGATCTTTCCAACATTGCCAGGTATAAAAAAGTTACATTCTAAAACAATGCTACAAGACAAATAATATTAGGAACTGCATTTTAATACGAGCAAAATGTAGCAATTTAAAAAAAACACCAGGGTTACCAGTTTCACATTATAAAAAAAATTAAAGACACTGGCAACCCAATTATAAGCAATCTCGAATTAATTGAAGTTAAATCTCATTGAATATAGAAAATTAATCAATAAAAAACAATAAATCGACCAACTTGAGAAACTTCAGTACAAAAACCTAATTTTTATTTCAAAGCATCAAATAAACAAAAAATCTTTGCATCAATAAATAGCAGACAACTCAAGTCGGTCTAAAGTATAAAAAAAATTAAATTAAGTTTATTAAAAATATAAAAAATGCAATTTTTAGTTAATTGTTAGCAACACTGTTAACTAACAAACTGAGCATCAAACACTTTACGGCTTAAATTAAGCGAAAAAAATAAATATGTTAGTATCTTAATAGTAGCTAATAAAATTCTCTGAGTTACATTATATTTATTAATAATTTACGTACTGGGAACATTGACAACTGTCAATTGTCAACACGCACCATTTCATGTCAAAAAGTTTGACAGCTAGTTGACAGATCAGTGCAAACTATTGCACGTTAACGTAAAATTCCATTTTAAATAAAAAATTGCATTGTTATAGTAATTTTAAAAACATATATGACTGACTTAATATAACTTTATGAGATGTTAAAACCTTTTAGAAAGGTATTTTGACAGCAAATGTTCCCAGCAAAGTGTCGGCCTTGCCTTAAGCCAGCCATAGGTCTCGCCTTTGCCAGACATAGATCTGGCCCTTGCCAGACATAGATCTGGCCCTTGCCAGACATAGGTCTCGCCTTTGCCAGACATAGGTCTCGCCTTTGCCAGACATAGGTCTCGCATTTGCCAGACATAGGTCTCGCATTTGCCAGACATAGGCCTGGCCTTTGCCAGACACAGGTCTGGCCTTTGCCAGACGTAGGTCCCGCCTTTGCCAGACGTAGGTCCCGCCTTTGCCAGTTCTAGATCTTGCTTCTGCCTGGCCTAGGCCTAACCTTTGCCAGGTCTAAGCCTTAGGCACATTCCAGACTCGCGTGTTACCGTCCTGTCCCACGGAGACCAGCGACTCGTCATCTAGCCAGGCCAAGCCAGTGATCTGACTTTGAGGATGGGCATCTGAAAGTTTAAATATTCTAATAGAATACAATCGAATGGGTTATGTAATCTATATCTATACTAATAATATAAAAAAAAATATTTTTCTATGTATTGCATACTTGCCGGGATTCGAACCCAAGACCTGTAGATTACATGTCAAGTGCTTAAACGACTGAGCCATCAACGCTCTCACAATGTAACAATAATATTAATGTCTAAATCTAATAAAAAAAAGTGCAGTGTACTTTTGATGAGTGTGTGCTTGGCGGGCGTGTCCACACTCCACACGATGACGCTAGTGTCGAGCGAGCCGGAGGCCACGCGGCGGCTGTCGGCCGACCACGCCACGCAGTTGACACGCGCCGTGTGGAAGCCCCACTCCTTGTTGTGTGCCAACTGGAATACAAAGTCATAGCCATCACCTAATTTAAAAAAAATAATTGTCTTAATATCTTTTTGAAATAACCAAAAAAAGTACTGGATCGATTTTAATAACATTGTTTGAACGATATGAGCTTGGTAGATCGATGATATCCTGACTGAGGAGTATTGTGAATGTGTTCCTTGAATCCGACTTAGCCCATAGCCGCCCACATGTGATCTCGAGTAGTAGTAATAGGGAATATGCATGTATTTTTTTTTCAAACGATTCTACTTGTTAAAAAAAAAACAGAAAAAAATTTGACGCAAAAATATTCAACCATTGACTTAAAAATAATAAAACAAAATTACAACCATTTTCGAGCGACTAAAACGCGACCAGAGTTGTCAATAGACAATTGACGTCAATCGTCATATTCCATTCTTAACATATGCTCAGATGTCACTTCGACGTAAAAAACAACAAAGCTTCTCAAGGTCAAAAAGTCAAAAATCGATTCATTTTTATTATTCCTGATACAAATAAGTGGTAATTAATAACTCTATTCATTAATTTTTTATTTAAAAGTTGGTATTGATATCGTGTTTACAGTAAAATACTTCAAGAGTGTATTTCTATATAAACTAACATAAATGAACTGTGTATTGTCAACACAGCGACGCCATATTAGATAAGCCACTTGCCTCGACCAATAGTGTGCGTTTTAGAACTTAGCGGGGGAATTTGAAAAAAGACACTTTTTAATAATTAAATTATGCCACTAAATCACATTATATTAAATAAAATCTTTGCAGGAATGTTTTTATAGTAATAAAGTATACTTAAAAAAAGCTTGGTGCAATTTGGCGTCATATGTATATTGCGTATTCAGATATCGTGCTAGCTCAAGCCGACAATACATACGGTATATCCTTCAACGTCGTATAATATGAGTTTTCTGTTAGCGTCAGCTGCAACGAGGTATTTGGAGTCTGGGCTGTAGCTGACGGCGGTGACGGGCCCGAGGTGCGTCAGCTCGGAGCGCGGCAGCAGCGCGCGCTTGTCCAACGAGTAAATGTGCACTTTACTATTACCACCTGTATAAATAACTCTATTAGAATAATTATAATATATTCTTGTATTATAAAAAGGTTTATTTTATTATTCGATTCACGTAGACTGGATTTCAAAAATACTTTCCCAGTTAAAAAGCACATTATCGCCGATTAACATAGGATTTTTTGTTACTTTGTTTTTATATAACATAAGATGGCAAACGAGCAAGCGGCCACCTGAATCCGCCAAAATGGCGAAGCGACCGCTGCACATAGACATCCGCAATTGCAGATGCGTCGCCTACCCTTATACGACGGAGGAGGAGACACACATAAAGAGGATATTTCCTCTTCCTATTCATCTCCTCCATCGTCAAATCAACTTCCTCTTCCCATCCTCTCATAAGAAAAGGGTGGTAAAGAGAAAGGGACTTAAATTAGACCTACAGTTCTACTACAGTAGAACCTCGATAACTCAAACCCCGGTAGCTTAAAAACCTCTATAACTTCAAGAAATAATAAGTTCCCTTCCCTTCAGATCCCAAAACCTCTACAACTTAAAATACTCTTTAATTTAAAGAAGTAATTTCTGTATTGGCCCTCAGTAACTTAAATAAATATTTCCACAATGCCTATAACATAAAATTAACAGTGGTAGTGCCCGCTTTAACATCTTAGCGCTGCAGGGCACGCCCCCAGTAATACCACGACCACACATAAGACAGGCGTCAAATGTAAGCAATTCCGTGTTTCGTCTGATGAGTGTGGTGCCGGAGACCTAATTTGAGTCCCTTTCTCTTTACCCTTTTCTTGTAAGGAGAGGTTGGGAAGGGGAAATGTCCTCTTTATGTGCGTCTCCTCCTCCGTTGTATAATTGTAGGCAAAGCATCTGCAATTGCGGATGTCTATGGGTAGCGGTCGCTTCGCCATTTTGGCGGTTTCAGGTGGCCGCTTGCTCGTTTGCCAAAAAGTTCAAAACAAAAGGTTTCGGTATTTATTGCTTGCACGATCATAGAGCAATGTAACATAAAAGATAATTTATTATGATTTATGTATTATCTGTCTCCACGTGGGGACAGAGCGGGGTGACGGTTGGGAATAATCCAAGGGAATTTGCTATTTCCTACCCATCCTTTGTTAAAATTTAGACATTGCATATATATATGCAGTTGCTCTAAATTCTATTTTCAATATACTTAAAAAAATACAGACGGGTTGATAACCTCTTTCTTATTGGAATGTAAAAAATTATTATTTTTAATAACGTATTTATACTTGTTGATAAGTATTCAAGTATAACTTACCTCCGACAGCGATGTGCTTCAACTTGGGGTCGATGGCGACGCAAGTGGGTTCGTAGCTGACCGGCAATGTCGACTGCTTGTTGTTGCCCATCAATACTATTAACTGTAAATAACAATATTACAATAATTATTATTAACTAGCTGTTCTCGTGCGGCTTTATCCGCATGAAATATTTTTTTTATTGTTTACATTTGTCAAATTATCCATAGCAAATGTCAAACTGACATGACAAAACTTGGCAATGCTTCCTTGATGTTGGCAGCAACTTATGGTCTCTTTCCCCATATTAGGGTTTTTATCCAAAATATTTAACCCCTATGTTTAATGGCGTGAAAATATATAGCCTAAAGCGTGACGTAAGTGTACAGCTTTTTATTAAAAAAAGTATTATTAAAAAATATGGGGTAATTGCTGACATCTTAGGCAACAAAGAAGTGTGTGTTTACACTTTATTATAATAGTATAGAAGTATAGACTACAAACTCTAAAATTCACTACATACTGAAACTTTAAAACCCTCAAAATTATGCCTCAATTGAACTTTCATATATAAAAACATGTAAATAAAAACGTTCAATATAACAATAATAATTTTAAATATCTTACTAATATAAATGTGAATGGATGGATGGATATTTGTTAGTTTACCGCCTAAACTGCTAAACGGATATAAATTTGGCATCGACATAGCATAGTCTGAAAGAAAATCGGACGGAATCGCGGGATAAAGCTACATAGGCACAAATAGTACAAATGCAATAGGATGGATGTTTCTACATATCTTCAAACCGTTCAAAGTACATCACAAATGTAACAATCTACACTTAGGTTACTTACTACTTACTAATATAATAAATGCGAAAGTTTAGATGGATGTTTATAGAGTTTGTAGCCTAAACTGCTCAAGGGATTTTGATGAAATCTGGTATAGACGTAGAGGATAGTCTGGAAGACACAGGCTACTCACTTATGCTTTTTTTTTATTCAACGCGGACGGAGTCGCGGGCGAAAGCTAGTAATATGTAATACTTAAAAAGACGGTTATTTTACAGATATTAAGTATTGGTTAATTAGAACAGCTGACCTCTTTGACAGTGGCGACGACTGTGAGGTCGTCCTCGATGACGTGGTCCATGGCGCGAGGCTGCGAGCCCAGCGGCACCGCGCTCTCGCTGTACGTGGGGGCTTCACCTAAACAGCAATAACTACGTTAATACTTATTATTAGCCCTTTCCCTTTTCCCTTTCCACCCTCTTCTTAATAGGAAAGGCTTTGAAGGTGGAGCACACGCATAGGAAGGGAAAATGTCCTCTCTGTGTGTGTGTCTCCAAATGTGCGTCTCCTCCGTCAATGAAGGGTAGGCAACGCATCTGCAATTGAGGATGTTTTTGGGCAGCGGTCGCTTCACATTACATTCCGGTAACCGCTTGCTAGTTTGCCACCTTATGTTGTAAAAAAAAAACAAAAGTGAATGTTCCAAAGCCTATGTGTTCTTCTAGACTATCCTCTACATCTATACCAAATTTCATCGAAATCCGTTCAGCCGTTTAGACTTCAAGCTCTAACATATCCATCCATCTATTTAAACTTTCACATTTATAATATTAGTAAGATTTAAAGTACAGTTACGGAAATTCGCGGTGTTTCCGGATGGCGAAGCGACCGCTGCCCATAGACACTCGCAATTACTGACCCTTAATCGAGAGGAGGACACGCAGATAAAGACGATATTTCCCCTACATATGCTTCTCTCCTCTCGCCAAATTCATTTTTCCTCTCTATAAGGAAAAGGTTGGAAAGGAAAATGGACAATACCCCACACTCATCAGATGAAACGCGGAATTGCTTCCACTTCACGCTAGTCTCGTGTGGCCGTGGTATTGCGGGCGAGACGGCCCTACAGTGCGAAGATGTTAAAGCGGGCCATGCCACTCTTAAACTTTGCAATGAGATAAACTCCGTCTCTATTCAATCAATAGCAGTGCAGTAATGGCATATATTTATTATATACATAAACATTTACGTATGTACTATCAAGGATCCTGTCAGATCCTGTTGCATCTCAAACCAGTCGTTTGAATATTTGGTACATTGACTTTGTAAGGAACAAGTGATACTACGTAAGTGTTACATCGCGTAGTTCCCCGATTGTACATGTGCAGTGTGTGTGCAGACAAATTTTACATTGTGTGTAGTATGTGCAATGTGTGCAAATTGTGCAATGTGTGCAATGTGTGTAGTATGTGCAATGTGTGCAATGTGTGCAATGTGTGCAATGTGTGCAATGTGTGCAATGTGTGCAATGTGTGCAATGTGTGCAATGTGTGCAATGTGTGCAACGTGTGCAGTGTGCAATGTGTGCAGTGGGTTGCAGTGCGCAGTATGTGTGGTTTTTTTTATAGGGGGAAAAATAACGCGCTGTTTTATGTTTGTGTGTGTGTACCGTCGCTGAGCGGCAGCGCGGTGCGCAGACAGTCGTCGATGCCGCAGGTGAGCAGCGCGCCCGCCTTGCCCACGCTCATGCCGTTCACCTGGTTGCCGTGCCCCGGCCCGCCGATGTGCCGACCCTCGCCTGCAATACCAACATATACCAACATTAGATATACACTTTTAATAAACATTGAAAAACAGTGTTTTAAATGCTATTGGAAAATAGATTAATCATATATGTTATTATAATAAAGCGTAAACACACTTCTTTGTTGCCTAAGATGTCAGCAATTACAGCATATTTTGGAATAATCCTTTTTTTAATAAAATGCCCCACACTTACGTCGCGCTTTAGGCTAAATATTATTACGCCATTAAACTTAAGGGGTAAATATTTTGGATAAGAACCCTAATGTGGGAAAGAGACCATAAGTTGCTGCCAATATCAAAGAAGCGAGGTTGCCATGGTTTGTCATCATGTCATGTCATGTTGACATTTGCAATTGATAATTTGACACATGTAAATAATAAAATAAATTTTCATAATTTCAATATTTGATATATTACCATACAAAGAAGTTACCGGTGAAAAAAGTTGTTTCCTGTCTATACATTTTTTAAATGTCTTTGGTTGTCGTTGAAGTATTTGAATCTTGACTTTTGGAATTGCAGTTTTACAAAATGTAAAAAATAAAATACAGTTTTACAAGAACAGCTAGACAATAATTAAATTCTGAGATGCTACTCACCGGTAGAAGTATTCCAAGAAGTAACACACCCATCATGGCTAGCGGTGTAGACAGTCTTAGTGGCAGGCTCCAGCGCGAGGCAGGTGATGGGCTTGTTGTGTCCCATCAGCACTCGGAGAGGCTTGTCCGGGTTCTCCATGTCTAAGTAATTGATCACTCCGGAGAGGGATACTGAGATTAAGTGATTTCCTTGCCATAGGCAGGATACCTGGAAAAATGGGAATTTTATTAAAGAAAAAATAAGTTTATTAATTCTTTCAAAATATTCAAAGTATTTTATATAGTAAATTTAAAAACACTTGAGTCAAAACTATTACTATTTAAATATAAAGTTAATTTTTAAGTAATTAACATCCAAATATTGAAAGATTTAATTATGTAGAGACTCAAATGATGAGACAAGAGATATCTCAAGTGATAAGACTTTTGTATACTTTATTACTATAAAAACATCCACAAAGAATTTTTTAACATCATATGATTTAGTAACGAAATTTAGTTATTAAAAAGTTTGTAAATTCCCTCAAGTTCTAAAACGCTATTGATCGAAGCAATTAGTGACTAATCAATTTTTGACTTTTAATAACTCTGAGAACCAATCAAATGCTTTGTTGTTGTTTGACGACGTCACAACACTCCGGCCGCGTTTTAGTCGAACGATGAATTGGCCATTTTTTTCATGTCATTTTCTTCCTATTTTCTATAACAAGAAAAAATACGTGCATCTTCCATATAGTGACTGTTTCCACTAACCTGTTGATTTTCAACAGCATTCCCCATATTGAAGGTGATGGTTCTCTGCATAGTGTTGACATCCCACACCGCGCACGTCTTGTCGCCGGAGCAGGACAGCAGGCGCGCGCCGTCCGCAGACCACGAGATACCGTACACACCGCCCTTGTGAGAACCGATCTATGGCACAAAACAAAAATATGTATAAAAAATTACACTAAATTTGAAATATCAAAAAGCTTTTAATTGAGAAGACTGAAAAATGCCGAGTTCAAATTGAGAATTGGAATTGTATTTTTCACGTCTATAGGTGTTTTGTGCCAATAAGACATTCCAGCAAAAAAATAAGAATTACACCCACACATCAAAATAATCGTTAAAAGGTTTTTTATACTTTAAATTGGTTCGCCAGATGTTTGCTTTTTGGACAAAAATCAGTCAAAATGAAAAGCGACCGCTGCCCACATACATCCGCAGATGCGTTGCCAATCCTTAATTGACGCAAGATGAGACGCACATAAAATAATATTTCCTTTTTCTATGCATTTCCTCCACAGTCAAATCTACTTTCCGTTTCCATTCCATATAAGAAAAAGGTGGAAAGATACTAAAATTAGGCCTCAGACGAAACGCGGAATTGCTTCCACTTCACTATGTCGTGGTATTGCGTGAGGCGAACTGGCTTTGAAGACAGAAGTTGTTAAAGCGGGCTCTACCACTGTTTACGATAAACATTTTGACAATAAACTTTGAAAATAGCAGACTTGATACAATACCTCTCCTTTAAGTTCAGAAGTAGCTCCATCATAGAGATATATCTTGCCGTCGAAGCCTGCGGAGGCGAACAGCGCGCCGTCGGGGCTGTAGCGCACCGCCTGCGCGAAACGAGTGTGCTCCTGCCGACATATGACTATGTATAGAAGGACTCGTATAATATTGATAAAAAAACTCTTTTTAAAAGATTTGGTGTACCAGTATTGAGAACAAATTTATATTTTCATATGTATTTAATAAACACAAAATCTATCATCTGTTTTAGCCGCGTTGCTTGCATTTTGATTTAGAAAAATATTTTTTTTTTTTATAAATTGTACTCACACCTTAATGGACGAAAAAAAGAACAGGTAAACTTTATTTTTTAGTATTATGTGTTACTTTTATAACATGCATAAATCTAAAATTATACGATACATGTACACTTTACGAGATATCGACTATTTAAACTAACTAAAATAATAGATTACGCTTTCGCAAACTTAATATTTGTTCTCACCTGTTTAGTGCACTTGAATTTGAAGGGAGGTCCTTCAAACACAGCGACAGTATTATCCTCGGAAGCGGTCACGATGCGGAAAGGACGAGCCGGTCTGAAGTCCACCGAATTGATCGGCTTCGACTGACCACTTATCTCGCCAACAGACGTACCAGTCTCCGCCATAAACACATGGCCGAATCTAAAATATATTACTATGTAATCTATGCTAATATAATAAAGAAACACACTACTTAGTGACGTAAGATGTCAGCAATCAGACTATATTCTTGAATAATTCTTTCTTTAAAAAAAACTTGTTACATGCTTTAGGCTATATATTTTCACACTGTTAAACTTAGGGAGTAAATAATTTGAAAAAACATAAAGCGGGAAAAGGACAAAAAGTACAAGCTGACAACGTCAAGAAAGCAAGATTGTCATGGTAACTGTTATCCAATGTCTAAGGACTGTGTCATTTGGAATTTAAATTTTTACAAATGTAAACAATAAAAAAAAGTATTTATATCATTACTTCTCACGTCCTTCCCCGACTACAACCATACGTTGACTGTCAGCGCTCCAGGCGATATCCTTGATAGGTCCGCCGATTGGCTGGAACTCGTTCTTGAGGATATGCTCCTTGTTCACAGTGTCCCAAATACGGACCTTGCCGGAAGCATCTGGAATTACAAGTAACTCGTCATCATACTGTACATACTAACATTATGGGAAAGTTGCAAATTGTAGAACTTTTTTCTTATGAGCGCTGAGCTTATAAAGCTTATAAACGCTTATAAAGAGGAAATATTGGTATTTATGTATACAATGAAATAATATAAAAACTCCTGGACCGATTTCACCATTAAAAAAACTACGTTATCAGTGAGTAACATAGGATACATTTTTTTAATTTGAGCATAACAGACTTTAGTTTAGTTTTCAAAATAATTATACTGCATTGTGAGCCTTTCATAATCCCCACTATCAATATCGCTTCAATATCAAACAATATCGCTTAAAAATACTTTAAAATAGCCTCAAAAATTATATAAATTGAAGGATTAATTTGACAAGCATCATACAAACACACAAAACAGCGTGTAGCTCGGCACAATGCCAACTAGAGCGAGAAACTGTGCCAATTTTAACCGCTTAGATTCTATGATAGCGGTTCGTATGCGGGCATTATGTGAACTTTTGAAACACAATCAGCTTGTTACTATGCGTTAGATAAAACGCATAACATGTTTCAATCAACACTTAACGACAAACAGGCGTTTGTTTTTTTTTTGGTTAAAACTGGTAAATTATAAGATACTAGTTGTTGCCCGCGAATTCCTTCGCGTGAAATTAAAAAAATCCTAAATAGTATAGCCTATGTTACTCCGTGATAACGTAGGTTTTTTATTGTGCAAGAATTTTTGAAATCGGCTACTTTTTGAGTTAATTCAATAAATACAAAAATACAAATATTTCTTCTTAATAGACTAGCATTTGCTTGCGACTTTGACAGCGCAAAATAAAAATTCTGGAATATAGCCTAATTAGAGATATAGCTTTCTTGCAAAATATTTTTTTTTCCTCGGTTTAGTAGTTTGACTCTATTGGTCACATACAAAAATACAAATCGATCACAAGTTTTGTGGTATTTTTTTTTTCATTTAACTATATTACATAAAGTCGAGATGTGAAAACCGTTGGCATAGCGAACTGGAGGACCGTGGCCTGAGATATGCCGAAATGGAAAAAATTGCTGGACCAAACCAAAGCCCACAAAGGGCTGTAGAGCTACGAAGCCGATGAAGATATTACTTAAACTCCTTCATTTTGTTTTCTATTTTTTTTACAAAATAACCGAAAAAAGTGATATAACCTAATGGCCGCCATATACATAAAATTACATTTCTTTGTTTACTATAGACATTGGATGGAAACGAGGTACAAACGGACAAATTGAATGACTATTTACGGATGTTAATATCAAATCACTAACCATGACCAGTTATTGTTAAATCAGAATTACATAGCGTAAATCCTATAGAAATAAGGGGAAATGTTAATTAAATTAACATTTAAATCGCAGTTATTTAAACAGTCCCTAAGTATATACTAGCTTTCACCTGCGAAACCGTTCGCAAAAACAAAAGTATAAACTATTTTTTCTTTCAGACGCTGGCTACGAACTCAAACAACTATCCATCCATCTAAACATTCGCATTTATAATATTAGCAAGAAGTAACTCATATAAAATCTACACTAACTCGCTCCTTTACCTTTCTGCGTGCGGCTCAGACAAAGCTATTGAAGTTCATTGTCGTTTTTATAAATGGCAATAGTACCAACATTTAGAAAATAAACGATTTCTAATTTGTCGAACACTACTCAAGATTAAAAATCGTATTAATTACTAGCTGTTGCTCGCGACTTCGCCCACGTGGAATTAAAAAATATAGCCTATGTTACTCACAGATAAATTACCTTTTTTAACGGTAAAAGAATTTTTAAAATCGGCCCAGTAGTTTTTGCGTGAATCTAATACATACAAAAATCCAAAAATACAAATCTTTCCTCTTTATTATGTTAGTATAAACGAACATAAATATACATATTACAAATTAGTTTGATCTATCGACTTTGTATGTATGTAAATTGTTCTACAATCTGCTGTAACATTAACCAACCGATTTTGAGAAGAATCGTATCTTCCCCTAAGTATCATATAATCAGATTATTATGAGTTTTTTAATTAACTATTACTATTATTATTAATTACAGGTATTACGCTATCGGAATTTAACATAATTTACACATATCGTCAACCTCAAAACGGTACGAATTAATCTGGCCGCTATCCAACATACTGAATGTTCTTAGGCAATGAATAACCAAATCCTAAACTAAATGTGTCGCGACAGTCGAATGGCCAACCCGCCTACGATCCTGGAGTTCACGAGTCAAATCTCGGACAATGACATTTTAACGTTAGCTGATTTTTTAATTCATAAACGAGCAAACGGCCACCGGACTACGCTAAAATACAAAGCAACATCTGCCCTTAGACATCCGCATTTGTAAATACTTTGCGTACCTTTAAACTACTAAAGGGATGCACAGAAAAAGTATATCAGTCATCTCAGTCATCACTCCCTTCGTAATCATGTCACCTTTCACGCAATCCATCCATCTCTTTCTAGTAACAATAGGTCCAGGTAGTCACAAACTTTTCTTACTAAAAAGATTTATCACAAGTTAAATGCAAAAATGCAGTTACATCAATATTCTTTAACAGTTAGCTTGATATCGGGCACAATTTGCCATGCTTGCAAAAGGTCATTCACCTCGCGTTAACAAAAAAATTACGCTACAGAAGACAGAAATAAAACTAGAGTTTTATACAGTTTGGTATTAAGTAAAAACTACTTGTTTAGGATTAACTTTTTCCCCAGCTTGATAAATAATGAATAAAATATAAAAGGTGTGTTTTACATGTTTTGAAGTAAGGCGTTGAAACATGGATGTCGAAATATTGCTTAAAATTGCAAACAAGGTAAATTTATTACGAACCAAAAGAATGAGTGTTTAGGCGAAATCGTACAAATAATAAATAACTATTTAATTACTTAATAATCTTACTAATATTATAAATGCGAAAGTTTTGATAGATGGATGTTAGAATGTAAGTATCTCCAGAAACGTTCAACGGATCACGAATTTCGGCATACATGTAGAGTAGTCTGAAAGGATGCATAGGCTACCCATTTAAATTTTTTTTAATTACACGCGGACAGAGTCGCAGGCGAAAGCTAGTAATACTGTAAATGTTAAAGTTTGGATGGATGTTTGTTACGTATTTCAAAAAAAACCTAATGGACGTCGATTCAATTCGACACAAATATAAACGGAGTTTATATGGACAAAAACTGTTCTCTTTATTTTAAAAGGAAACTATGGGGATGATAGTATAAAACAATCAAAGGCGTGTCCCTTATCTATTAATATCCGTTGATAAAATTAAAAATAAAATAATTAGTAACGGGTAAATCCCTGTTCATATCTCCTCCAAATAAATTTGAGATAAGAAGAAAACATATGGCTGTCTTAAATGAATGGCGCAAAGGACAAGTGGATCTATTTGAAAAGACTTTACAAATGCCTAGATGTCTGCAACAACTGGAACCACAGATGTGATTCTGATATATACCCAAGCAGTTGGGACAAGCAGTTAAAGAATTAAATTTGCCACCCACTTATTATCAAATATTGTATAAACTGCTGCAATCGAAATTGTAACATGTAAGTTGTAACTTATTACGCTTATGTTCTATAAAAATAATAATAATAAGCCTCTTGATTTCCATATTTACATAGAGTTTCAAAAATTTCATTTTGTTAGTATTGTTAGTTTCACACCTTATTATAGTTATAGGTATTGTTAGTCTACTATATCATTTTTTTTATTTATTTATTTTAAATATGGATCCCTCCTTGGGTAAAGGCCTCCTCCATCTCCTTCCAGCCTTCCCTGTTTTACACTTATGTTATACTATATTTAATTCCTAATATAAAACAGCATTTCATAAAAATGTTCAAAAAAAACTTGAAGTTTAGACTGAAAGCTTACAGGCCAATAGTTTACTAAATAATTTTATCTAATGATTTTATCAAATATGAGATTACAACATTTTTTATCATACATTTCTTTGTAATTGGTCATAAATATAAACATATCTTGTAACAAGCATCAAAGTAGTATATGCTTGTTGAATATGACAGAGGTTTCAAATATATATCTGTTTTGGTCATGTCTTTACCTTATGGTTAAATGTGGAGAGTAATTTTAATATTTAATTGCAATATAAAAGTTCTTAGGAACTCATTTGTAAATGTTTCTTTTACATTTGACTCATTATATGTTTATAAATTAGGAACAGCAGTACTGCAGCCAAAATGTGTTAATTCCATTGCTAAAACATATTTACAAGCAATATTCCATTATAACTACTCACTACATCTCTTTGTTGTGACCTTTTTTTACCTATTTGCATTAAAAAAACAAAGTTTCTTAGTGGACAGTATGCAACCTCTTTCATGGAATGCTTAATCTTTGTCCACCAAAGAATATAAATACATCATTCTTAACTTAACATAGTTATCCAATAAGATATTTTTTAAATGAAGATATCTTGGAACTACATTCTCTTAAACTGCCTGAATTCATATTTACCATAATAATTCAACTGTAAAATAGTCTAAATTAATTTTATTTATTTATAAAACAAATATTTAGAAGTACATCCTATCATTAAGGTAAATTATACCAGGGTCAATGATAATGCAAATAACTTGAATGAGTCACTTAACATGCTAAGACCAAAAATGGATATAACTTATGTATAAGAGTAATAATTACCTCCGGAAGCAATGTAGAAGCCGCTTGGTGAATATTTAGCGACATTAACTTGGCACGAATGTTCCGTATACACGTCTGAGATGGCCGGATTTTCGATATCCCGTATGATAACTGAATTGCCATTGGTGTATAGGAAATTCTTTCCTTTCGGATCACCTCCTAGAACCAGCGGCGTACCTCGCTGCGTCCTCGGAAGGGCCGCAAAAGTATATTCTGCAAACACCGATACACCAAATCAGTTTTTTACAACAAACAAAATTGGAAAACTCGATTCGCGTGCACCATTCCTACCGACACTTGTAAAAATACAAAGTTATACTCACTGTTTGAATAAGACATTATAACTTTATTATTAAAATAAAATTCACTAAACTGTCTACGCTTAACTAAGTATAAATCAGTACTTTTTAATTTAACTAGAAAAACAAAATCAGCCGCTATTACTCCATAGCCTACCGAAAATGACGTGACGTAAAGATAAGAATTAGTGTTGTTCTAGCGACTGTTTGGAGCTCCTATCGATATTTGTTTTATTTCTACCGCATTTAAAGTACTTGTTTTTAATTTTATAGTTATTGTCGATACTCAGTTAAAGCCGTGGTGGATTTGTTTTCTCAGCTATATTTGGTTTTGGAGGACTTTAAGTTTTGCAAGTTTACGACAAAAAATGATCTTTTAACCAACTATTTAATTTTTGTTTTTAGGAAATTTCAGGATTGTAAGCATCGATGGCCAAGTGGTCTGAGCACTTGAGAGCGTCGAGGGGTTTGAACTCAGGGGTTTGAACACTTGACTTATAATCTACAGGCCTTGGGTTCGAATCCCTCTATGTACCAATGTGATTTTCGATTTTTTCGAATTTCATATATAAATATTATTTTTTTTATACCATAAAGTGGCAAACGAGCAAGCAGCCACCTGAATCCGCCAAAAAGGCGAAGCGACCGCTGCCCATAGACATCCGCAATTGCAGATGCGTTGCCTACCCTTATCCGACAGAGGAGGAGACGCACATCAAGAGGATATTTTCCCTTCCTATGTATCTCTTCCTCCGTCAAATCCACTTCCTCTTCCCATCCTCTCCTTATAAGAAAAGGGTGGTAAAGAGAAAGGGACTTAAATTAGGCCTCCGGCACCACACTCATCATACGAAACACGGAATTGCTTCCATTTCACGACTGTCTTCTGTGTGGTCGTGGTATTACACCGGGCGTGCCGGCCTATTCGTGCTAAGATGTTAAAGCGGGCACTACCACTGTTAGGCGATTATTTACCCGATATACTTACACATTGAATACACACACATTCACAAAAGAAAAACATCGTGATGCAACCTGCACATTTTAGAGAAGAAATTAAAAAACATGTGTGAAGTCAACCAAACCGCTCTGGGCCAGCGAGGTTAACTATGGCCTAGTAACCTCTTATTAGGGTAAGTTCTGAGCCCGTCAATGGGGACGTATAGTAAGCTGGTGATGATGAACTTTATGATAAAAACCATTGTCACGCAAAACTGTACATTATGTAGATTTGTAAATGAAGCAAATAAGTATTAATTAATTAAGTTTCAAATTCTATATAATGTTTATTATTTAGAATTCTTATTCTTTTACTCTATAACGCACATAATTTTTCTCTGGTAAACGACGTATCCAAAGATGTTTCCTGAAAGCAAAAAGGTTTCCAAATCTTTCATGTCGTATCTTCAATTCTTAAGCCAAATTATGTCTAAAAACAAACGAATCTGAGAACATCACTACTTCCAGATGCTGAAATGTTGGTACAACCAAAGAATAAAACCGGGAATGACCATATATGGTCATAACCGTTTTGTTCATAAAAATATCAAGGCTGTTAATATTTTCCTTGAAATGTGTTAAAATCCATCGCCTGAATGTGTTAAAGATGAACACGTTAGTTCTTTAAAAAAATCTTACCTTTTTATGAAGACATTTGCAAGCTTTCTAATTAATTTACAGTGTTTCCTTTTTAGAAAAACGACGGCGTCATTTTACTCTTTGGCAGCAGAGCCGTCAGTCAATTGAATTCTCTCTGTGTCAATGTCAAAATGCTGCGGGAATTGCATCATGATGTAGTCGAACGTTATAATTTCATGTGCAATATCTTGTCTGATTTTATGACTGAATAGCATGAAACAAGTGATCGAAGCACATGAAGAAACGCTTTTTAATTATTCACCAAAATCGAGATGATCCCGAGAGTTTTTTGACATTTGTTTCCACGTGGTGACTGTCATATAAAAAGTCGACGTGTTAATATCAGCTCAGTTTTTAGTGGGTATTTTTAAAGCTTAGCAATTCCTTGAGCAATGGAGTCCTTAAACATGTCGAAGCTTAATTTGTCGAGTGTGAGGAGCCAAGCCTCTAATGATACTGTGATAAAACCCGAGAAACCAGAAGTGAAGATTGAAACAAGTGTAAGTTGTGTTAACTTTTATCTTTGATATGTGATATTGCATTGTTCTTACAATTTATAACGAAAGCTAAGTGTATTACTTTCAGAAATATTTTTTTTCATTATGACATTACTTTTCTCGGATTTTACTTATAACCATGTGACAGTCGCGCCTCTATCCAAAAAGGTCCTTTGTTCCGTAATATTCTTCATGTAACTTTCCTAACATATGTTGTCATAATTTTTTTATAAAAATATCTTGACAATTATTAACTTAATTATCTTTTATTCTAGTCATTGCTCACTGACCCTGACGACGAATTTTATTGCGAGTACAGAGACGACATATGGAAAAATCTACTAGAACAAGAGGCACAAAAGCCAATTATTCACCTCCAGTCGCCACAGGTAAGTTGCATAATTATTACTTAAACTTATTAAATTAAATCAAAATACAAGTAAGCTTCTTAGTGACTAAACAGAGATATTTTAAGTAAAATGTGAATTCAAAAACAATGTACAATATAAATGGTAATAAAGCCACATTATCAAGACAAAATGTATATATTGGCCACTACTGTTAAAGTAAAAAAAAATTTAAAGGAGTAAACACATCCTAGGCATCGCCAGTTGATTTATGTAGGTCTAAAGGGAGTTACAATTAATATGGTCTCATACTAAGTAGTTTTTATATCTATTTTACATTTTTCCATATTCTAAGTGTGTGGTGTTTGCCTCTTCCCTTGTATTATTTCCTGGTGATGCCCATGAAACACACTTTTATATAAATTTTACTAATATTATAAATGCGAAAGTTTAGATGGATGGATGGATGTTTGTTAGAGTTTGTAGTCTAAACAGCTGGACAGATCTAGATGAAATTTGGCATAGATGTAGAGGATACTCTGGAAGAACAAATAGGCTACTCACTTTTTTTATTAAATCCACGCGGACGGAGACGCGGGCGAAACCTAGTTTATAATAAATGGATCAAAAGAGTTAAATTTGTCTAAAATGTTGGTACACATAGCCTCCAGTAATCTCATGCCAGAGATCATCTAATCATCTCTATAATTTCTAATAGCCAGAGACTATTAGAAATTATATTTCTATAGAATAAACACCTTTAAAATTTATATTTTTACTATCTGGAAATATGCCATGTATCTTTTTCATATGTACATTTATCTAATGTCTTATGGAGAAGGGAAATATTGTGATATAACCTGCACATTTTAGTAAAGAAATTTGAAAATAAGTTAGTCAAACTAAGAGGCAGTGTGGTTGACTAAGCCCTAGTCCACTCTAAGAGCCTCACAGTAGGGATAACAAGCAAACAAACAGAAAATCTTCCTTAACTGTACAGTAAACCCCCTATAACACAGTTAGAGGGTTCAAATTGTAGGAATCCTCTATATAACAAGTTTTTCTACACTGCAGAACCATAAATCACATTGTAGTCAACCTTCTATATCTGTACTATTATTATAAAGAGAAAATATCTGTATTTCCTATGAATTGAAACAACTTGATAACTACTGGGCCGATTTTATTATTGGTGGTAATTTACACATTATGAGGGCGTATGAAATTTGTGTTACGGATTTACTGTACATGGCTAAACTAAACTCATAGCTGTTTTTTTAAATGAATTATCATTACATCTGTTTTCCTCGTCTATATAAGATTTTTATCTTAAAATTATCATCCCCCGAACCTTATCCTACTTCTGTAGGGTTGGCACCAAGTTTGCATCCTCCAAATAACTATCATCTGTTATCTCAGTCATCACTCTCTTCTTGATCTTGTCACCTTCCACGCACCTGTTATCTTAATAAACTTTTAAATTGTAATTGATGCAACAGAATGTAATATTTCATTATCCTTTCATATTGCAACTCTGAGAGTGAATTGTGTAATGTGATGCAATATGCTGCATGTTACAAGTTACTCAATAATTTTGTTGTTAAAATTTATTTTCTATAGGCCTTTAAAAATCATGATTTATTTGTTTACAAGTTAAAATAATGAAAAATCAATTTGAGACCAAAGCATGAAATACAACATTGTTTTGTATCCCATTTAAAGTATTTACTCTATAATGTAAATGCTTTTAATAAAGCAATGCAAATAATTTAAGCTTATTACAAAGATATTTTGATAATAGTTCAGATAGTTTATGCTTCCGTTGCAGTCATTCTCATCCTTTTACCCAATAAAAGAACTCTTATACCTAAAATAATCTCACTAATATTACAAATACGAAAGTTTAGATGGGTGGATGTTTGTTTGTTAGAGTTTTTAACCTGAACTGCTGAACAGATCTTGAAATTTGGCATAGATGTAGAGGATAGTGTGGAATAATTAAGAGGCATTTTTGTAATTCCACACAGATGGATTCGCGGGCGAAAGCTAGTACTAATAATAGAAGAAAGATTTGTAATTATGTAGCCGTATACATTTATTACTATAAAGAGGAATTATTTGTATTTTTATATTTTTGTATGTATTGTATAACTAAACCTCTGGGTCGATTTTGAAAATTCTTTCACCATTAAAAAGCTACGTTTTCACTGAGCAACATAGATTATATCTTGTTATTAATTTTTAATTTCACGCAAGCAACCGCTATAAACAAATAAACATCAAAACTGACCGATTTCCGATTTTTCAGTTGGAATTCCGTGGCGCTTTAGTGCAGCAACTGCGTGACGTCACCAAGAAGCTTAGCCTCACGCTAGCGACGCTGCACTCGGCTGTTGCTCAGCTGGACTTGTTCATGGACGCGCACAGACTGCGCTCCGATAGACTCACACATGTCGCTCTAGCCTGTCTCAGTTTAGCAGGTATGTTTACATATATACATACTCTTTTCAATTCAAATTTATATCTTAATAATATTATAAATGCGAATGTTCGATGTTTGTTAGAGTTTGTAACTTAAACGATTGAATGGATCTTGATGAAATTTGGCAGAAATATAGTCTGGAAGAAAACATAGATTATTTGCTAAGATTTTTTCAATGCCGCGTGGACAAAGTCGCGGGCGAAAGATAGTTAAGAAAATGTTAACAAATATGACACAGACATGTTAAAAAGTATTTCCACAACTGTTAACTGCGATTTGGTATAAATGTAGTACATACTGTGGAAGGAAATACAGCCTACTAATTGAGTTTTTTCCCTATCTCTATGGTATTCGATTTCGTAGCTAATGTATGAATGCTGAATATTGACATTCTTTTATTTTAATTCTGCGCTTAACAAAGTTAGGGAATGCTAGTGTATACTAATATTATAAAGATAGTGAGAGAAAGATTTGAATTTTTGTGTGTATTGAAATAACTCAAAAACTACTGGGCCGATTTAAAAAACTCTTTCACTATTAAAAAGCTATTTTATCGCTGAGTAACATAGGCTATGCAATGTAACTACTTTTTAATTTCACTAGGACGAAGTCGCGAGTACCAGTTATTCTTAAATGTATTTGTTTACAGCTAAAAGTGAAGAGAAATTAAGTCGAGCGCCAACATTGAAAACATTATCCAAAGTGAGTGGGGTCCAGCTCTGCGGGAAGACGTTCAGGCAACTGGAGTGGATGGTTGGCCAGCACGTGCGGTGGAGGCTGCTCGCACCCACTCCTGTGACCTTTGCAGCACTTCTAGCGCAGTACGTCATCACAGACAGCGACCTGACCACTAGACATCCGAAATTCGTGAGGCGCTTTAAGCGCGATGGTGCCAAACTGCTTGAATCGTATTTGGATTTGACATTATCTGGTGAGTTGTTTTTTATTGTTGTTTTTTTGCTCTGTGTAATGTTTTGACAATGGTGACGCTAGCAAAAATACAATCTGTTGACGAAACGGGCTCGCCCGATGCAACGAATTTTGCGTTTCGCCCAAAGAGTGTGCGTGTTAGAGCCCTAATTACTGGTGCCTTTCTCTCCCATTATGTTTCAAGAAAAGGTATTGAAGGCTAATTGTATTTTATAGAAATTGGAACGCATAGAAAGGACAAATATCCCTTCTTACGTCGATTAAAAGCAATGAATCTATTGCAAATGTTTCTTGCTTGTTTACCTTATGATATAAAAATCTCTTAAATTTAAACTGTTGTTCCCAGATGTGCGTTTGAAGGTGGTAGAATCAGTGGACGTTGGGTGCGCGTGTGTGGCGTGCGCCCGCGCAGACCTAGGACTATGCGCATGGCCCGGCTGGCTCGCTACCGTCACTGGCAGGAAACCCACCAGCGTCGCTCCTATCGCACGTTTACTGCAGAGGTAAGATGATTCATTTGTTAAGAATAACTTTTACAGAGATAACTTTTTACAGAAAAAATTTATGATTTACCTTGTAAGTTATTTAACTATTTAAGATTTACTAATTTCATATATTAGTTATTATAAATCCTGCTCGAAGGACCAGACGAAACAAATAAAACTTGAACTTGAGTACTAATGATGATCAAAGGCCGAAAAGACGCTAAAAGCATAAGAGAGTTGATGTCCCTTTTGGTAGATATCCTTTCTATTGGTTATAACACAGAAGCGAATATTCTGATATCTTTGTCCACAAAATATTCTATCTCATAGTTAAAATTTATTTAAAAAAATAATTATTCCATTCCAGGATGATGCAAATATTGAAATCACGTGATGGTACCGGTGACTCCGAGATAGATCAGGGCTACAGCAGCGCTAGGACTTCGCCAAACCTGACACCATGTCATTCCCCGAGCTGCCAAGTGTCTCCGGCTACCAGTTCTTGCAGCACATCCAGTTATATCAACATGGACTATCGGCAACGACCAGTCACAGAACGAAGGTTAGATAATGCTTATTCCGTTCTAGATCTTTCAGATAATAATCCAGCTCCAAATGTCAATATTCAAGATTACTATCGTTTACCGACAGCTATAGATATGACATGTCAAAGAGTAAACAACCCAGCAGATTATAGATTCTGTAGATCTTCAAGGTTGATCGAAGCCAGTTTAGATACTGTGACACCTTCTAATGTAGCTGTTAAACGTGGTTTAGATACTAATATAGAGTTGGAAAGGAAACGGTATCGCTTAACCTCCCAAATGTCACAAGTTGTTCTTTGATCGCTTTGTTACTGATAGTCTTGTCCGTGTTCATGAATTTAATGTTCCTATATAGTTGGTTAATGTATCCAATGAAATTGATTTCTATGTACCGAAATAATTGAAACTATGCCAGTGATCGGCAAACTTTTTAGCCAAAGAGGTATATGAACATTGCAATTAAAAATAAAGAGAGCCAAATCTGCTTGTTTTGTAAGATTTTGTTAAACTAAACAAGTACTACACTAAATTATATTAAATTTCTTATGCTTGCATCTTCTTGAAAAGTTTAAATAAGTTTGAGCCGCAAAATAAGATTCTAAGAGCCACACGTGGCCTTGAAGCCGATTTTGCCGATCACTGTTTTAGGCTCTAATTCTTAAAGATTCCAATTTGAATATAGATTAAAAAGTTTTCATGTGTTATGTTACTCATAGAGTAATTAATGTGACATAGAATAAAAGATTTTCAACAGATAATAAAACTTTTCTTAGCTGTATATTCCGAGTTATCTTAAAAAAGAAATCTGTTTCATTGGTGTTAAAAGCAATATTAAATGTATTGTTGAGCTTGTGTATTGCTCAAGATATATTCATGAATATGGACGTTTTTCGATGAAAACTAAACTAAATGACGTCGAAGATATTGAAATCCTTTGAACTGTATTAGGGTACATTGCCTTATTCCAATATATGCTAAAAATGTTATTACGTGATAATTTGCCACAGATTAATTATTGCGTAGACAAGTTGACACCTATTTTTAGTTTAGAAACGTTTGTAATCTACGACACAGTGTTTATTGTTTCTTTTTAGTGATGTGACTTAATTCGATTTTGAATCGAGAACCATTTTTTAACAAAATTTTAATATTGAATATAAAAATTCATACTCTACACACACAAATTTTCGGTTAGAGGTTATTTTTAGTTTAGTTGAAGTTTTGCGGATGACAGATTCTAATCGTAACTCGATTCTATTTCACAAAACCATAAACAGTCACATCACTATTTGTACTGGAGTTATAATTATATTTTATGGATGATATGTGTGACACTGTAAATGCAATAATTAATCTGTGGATTACAAAGAGGGAACAGTGTTGCCATTAAAATAATAATTATTTCTCGCGCAACATTTTTCCCTCTAGTAATGTTACTATTATAGCAATAAAAACACCATGTATATTAAGGTGTAAACAAAAATATATCAACGGCTTGGCCTTTAATGACTGAAATTTCTTTTAGTATTATATACGAACGAAATATTGCATACATTGCGTAGATTATGACAATGTAATCATAGAATAGATAGAGGTATAAACGATAAATTACGTTTTCACCATATCCCTTAAGAAAATCTTATGTTGTGTAGATACAATTTATTTTTTTATTATCTGTGCCTACTACTTCTTGCAAGTGTTGCCATTTTATTAACAGATTAAAATCTTTGAATCAACAGGGTAATGGTGAAATTGAATTAAATAAATATGCCAGAATATTAAGTATTTAAATGACGCAATGGCTGTGCTGTACATTTTGTATCCAATGTTAAAGAATATGCATAATGAGGATTCAATTTGATAGTAATTATGTATTCATTCTTAGTTGAATTGTCGAAATTATTGTCTAAACAATAATTTTGTATTTAGCATTTATGATGATTGAGAAAACAATGTTAAGGCGATTTAATTCTTTGGTGATTGAATGTCATAAGATTATAACCTAACTTTCTGCTGCCAACGTTTCGGAAAAATTTGTACGATGGCAACATCGTAATAATGTCAATAGGTTACATGCATTTTATGCGTTATAAATCTTTACTCTATGATCTTTTTACTTTTTAATCAAAGTAATTTTTTTTTTGGGCTGTTTATTGTACAGCGAATTTTAGTTGGACCAGTTTCTTTTGTTTTGTTTATTCAATCACCTTAATGTTAATACAATGTAGTTAATAATATCTGGAATAGCAAATGGAATGACATTTCTTTAGAAAATTTCTTAATGCCACCAAGCTGTTTTGGATAAGGGAGTGGTTGTGATTAAAGATGTTTGTTTTAATTTATTTTTTTAACATAGTGTATATATTTTAGCGGAATTGTAAAATGGAATGGAATTTTTCGAGTAATTTCCGATTTCTTTCTTCATCTTTTTTTACTTAAAAGATTCTATTCCATTAATTTCTTGTGACACCTATTTTAGTGACTTAAAAACGGGTGTAGGTGTCACAGGTTTACTTATTTTTTTTTTATTAGACTGTCTTGTTTTTTTTTATTTCGGCTAGGTTATGCGCGTTTATGTTGATGAGAAGTATACTCTCAGTTTATGTAATGTTACCATTTATTTTGTGTTTGTCATTGATCTGATTTGAGATTTTTTAATCGCGGTTTAATATGTAAAGGACTGTATGTGACCAAACCATTTGTATATACGAAACTTCAGTAATTGGTACCTTTAAAAAAGCATTTACAATGAGATGTAGGCAAGAATGTTTATTGTTTAAAAACAGTGTGTTTCTATGTATTTTATTTTCTATAATAATCAAATTTCCGTACTAAATGCAATTTGAATAAATTAGTTATTTGTTAAATAGTGTTCCGTAATTAAAATCTGTTTTTTTTTTTCTTTTAAATTATTTATACTGTCTGATTTTCTTCATAAAAATCCAATCTATAGGCGTATTTTAAATTTAAATGTATTTCGAAGGAAGTATCATGTAGTACTAATCCATTGTTTCTATTTAGCCAGTGCTTCCGAAAAAGATTGTTCTTAGAATAGGTAAATTAATGTAATCGTAATATTATGTAATTTTAAATACTGCCAATGTAGTTATCATTTTTAATCCATCAATGAAATTAAAAACGAAAGCTTTATACTTCATCACAAAAATGTGACAGAATTTTTTTGGCTCTACGTTTCAATGGCCTTTGCCTTTTAACACAAATTTGACAGTTGACTTTAAATAATGACAGATGTATTTATTTTTGTTTTAAACTTGATAGAAAGTGGACGTGTGAATAAGTACGCATGAAGACTGAATGTTAAGTACTAATACGAATGGTATTGGACTATAACGGAAACATAATTTTGTACTCTAAAGTTATAAAGACGCATTATAAACCTTGAAATAAAATTATTTACTTTTATCGGAGTTCTTTTATTTTAAATCCCAGTAGATCGCAATTTTACATCGAACCATGTGCGATAAAAGAACACAGTCGAACTGAGTACGATCTTTTGTGAAGTCGGTCAAAAATGTCCTATAGTAGATATATTTAGGAAGTTTTATTAATTATATATACTAATATTATAAATAGAAAATATCTGTATTTTTTTGGATTTTTGTGTGTGCGATTCACGTAAAAACTACTGGGCCGATTTCAAAAATTCTTTAATCATTAGAAAGGTAATTTATCTGCAACAGGCTGTATTTTTCTTTTCACGCGGGCGAAGTCGCAAGCAACAGCAAATCTTCAATAAACTACATATTTGTCAAGGGAAAAGTGGCTGGTAACATTAACCTATATTGTAAGAGGCGGATCGATGTTTTCAAGTGATGTTGACCTTAAGAGCCTCTTATGAAAGTAGTTTATGGCCTTAAAGATACTTCATTACAAGGTTACATCTTCGCGATTTATTCGTTGGATTTTATGACACCTTTTTTTACTTTCTAAAAGCAAAGACCATGACCGCTTTTCACATCAGTCACTGGCTGCTTATAAAAAAAATCTCAAGTTATTTTTTTAAAGTAGATGAGTTTTCCGCCCTGCCAGTATTTTAACAAAAGCTATTGTTTGAATTGTTTACGCTAGAACTTTTTGTTCGTGATTCATGGTAGCACGAACAAGCATAATTCATTGTATTTAAGCTTAGTTGCCTTTTATTTTAGTTTAACATAACGAAAGGAGGTTCATTTTTCTTGCATTATATCATGTTACTCAAAATGAAGTGAAGGAATGAAAAACAGGAACAATTACGGATGATCGTAAATGCCTCACAGGACTTCGGATAAGCAGCGACAACACGTATTTGGAAACCTTAATAAGTAATATGATAATTTTGTAGAATTGAAATTATACGCTATTTTCAATTACCGCATCCATAAGTAATGGTATATAAAGGCTAAATAAAACTCCAATGTATTATTTACACTCATTTACTTACTATAGAATGTACAATGGAATATCTAGTAGTTATCTTTGTGCCGTAAGGTAGGTAAACACTCAAAATTGGAAGATTTATAGCAAAACTAACCTAGTCTATATACCGATGTTTCGTCTGGTGAGAGCGTCGGAAGGCGGGGCGGGCGGCGCGGCGGGCGACGGCGACGGCGAGGCCTGCATTCGCAATGCAGGGCGCACAGCCCGATGCCAGCGCATCCGGATAGAAACAACGGCAAGGCCAAGGTCCTCGTCACGGTGGCCACTTGCTCTCCCCTCGACCAGCGTGGTACGACCACAGTATTATCCGCTCGCGACCAGTAACAAGGATATCTAGCTCCGACATACCCAAAATTAATAGTAAAATTGTCGCAATCAACCACCGGAGGGTACCCGCATCCCTTTATATTGACGTAGAGTACAGCGGGCCGCCATTCTTCGCTGTATGCTTTATATTTCACGTGCAATTGAATACATTTGTAGGCGTCGCTCGTGCAACCTTCCCTGCAAGACGCCCAAGTGCAATTATCCAGACCAAGTCGGTCGTCACGCCTCTCTGTCACGCATTCCGCGGGCACTGGGTCAAAGTCGGCCGCTAGGGCACTCAAAGCTGGATCAGCGTACAATGGCACTAAGAACAGGAGTGCGGAACCTCCGCCACTAAGAATAGTAGCTAACACAACGGTTATGTACTTTGTTAGTTTTGCGCGTGTTTCTCCTCTTCTGCGAGAAGCACGCACCACCAATCTTTCTGAACTTCCACCTCTCATTTTTATGCACTGCCTCAACCCATTGTGAATGAATATCACATTCTACATTAACTTCCCTTTAGGCATGCGCTGAATTCACACATGCGCATTGTAGAAGTTTGCAAAAAGTAAACTTGGGAAATAATAGTATTTTCAATGTTAAGATGCGATCTTAGAAGATGTAAATAATACATACCCATATTTTCAGGACTGCAGAAATTAACTTTATTTTATAGGAAAAATATTATGACTTACTGGCAATCCCATTAATGTTGACATAATGTAATGACACATTGACACATGACAGTTTTTTGACGTAAATCAAGGGAGAGATATTTTCAATAAAGTTTATTAAAATAAAAGATAAATAGTACAGAAAAAAGTAACTATAAAGTGTCCGCCTTTTAATGTTGTTTTAGGTATGTCCTTCAGATTATTAACTTCGTTTGTATGTACCTTAAGACAGACTCTGCCGCGACATCCAATAACAAAATCAGGTATTAAAATATAATTATTACACGTGTCTGTCCATAACTTCACTCTTTTATTGTATGTTATTCTTGTCCATTATTATTTATGTAGAAAGAAGTTTATTTTAACATGTTATTTTATGTTACGCGCGTTATTTTTTTGCTTCATTCAAAACATAACCTCAAAGTCGGTACACAATCTTGGATAGTTGGCAAAAACAAGTCTATAAAGTGTATATCATAGTAAGCCATCTTGTATGTTTGTTATTTTCATGACATTTTTTAGGTTTACAAATTAGGACTGTCACAGGAATGGAGACAGCAGTTCAAGCAGACCCTAAAAATGTTATTGGTAAGTAATCATTAATGTTGGAGGATCTAGATTATTTTTAAAGCACCCAATTGTTATCATCAACTAGTTGTCACCTGCGTCTCGGTTTGCAGAATTAAAAGAAAACGTACTTACTAGTCTATGTGTTTCCCTATGTGCTAAGTCTATGCAAAATTTCATTGAAATCTATTCAGCAGTTTAGATCTTGAAATATTAATAAACAACCATCGGAACTTTCGCATTTATAATATTAGTAAGATTATATTATTTGGATGAATTGAAAATGAATTATAAATGTTACACATGTTTTGATAAACATTTGCTAATTAGTGGCTAAAGCAACCTCACATTAACTCAGAATCACTATTGGCTATTATTTTAAGTTTTATTTTTAAGATTGGTCACATTTCAGAAGTGGAGACAGCAACACCAAAAGAAATCAGTGATAAACTGGTCAGTGATAAAAAATTTACTCGTTACAAGAATCGTAACAAGCGTCAATGGGAAGATGCCAAGGATGTAAAAGAAGATGGCGAGACTGATGGAAAGAAACCTTGTAGTTCTCCTTTCGAAAGAGTAAAAAGGAAGAAAATGGCAATGCTGTTAGGATATTGCGGTGTAGATTACTATGGAATGCAAAGGTAAGAATGGAAACATGTTTGTAATATAAACTTATTTTTGACTGACTTCCCAAAAGAAGGAGGTACTCAATTCATCTATATGTTTTTTTTTTAAATGAGGCTGTTCATTAAAAATATATAAGAAAGGTGTGCCAGCCCTATGGGTACTCCCATAAAAAGGGATAAAGTAGTAGAGATGATAAGAAGATATCTTTAGAAAAATTGCTTGTTACTTGATGATAAACTAAGCCCTTGTTACACATACTAAGAACAATCTATTGATATTAAAATATTCAAAGTGTAGATGGATGGATGGATTTTTGTAAGAATGTTTAACCCAAAAGACTCAATGGATTTCAATAAAATTTGTCATAGATATAGACTATAATTGGAAAGAACACATGAGCTTTCTTCTTTTTATTTTAAAATTCTGCGGAGAGAATCTCAGGCCAAAGCTGTATATATAAGACAAGAGATCTTATTCAAAGTGACACAATAAAAAAATACAACTATCAAGAAAAAGAAATTGAAAACACAGTAATTTTCATTAAAATGTTTTTTAGGAATCCTGGTGTAAGGACTATAGAGGAGGATCTGCTGAAGGCATTATTTGAGGCAAAGTATATCACAGAGGAAGACTTCAATAACCAACAAAATGCACAATTTCAGAGAAGTTCAAGAACTGATAAAGGAGTCTCCGCAGCGCGACAAGTTGTATCACTAAAGTTACGTAAGTATTTAACAAGTTTATATTTGTACAAGCTGTTTGTCAGTATGTAGTTGTGCGGAATAAATAAATGGTAATAAAATCTGTAGCTTTATAATGGTGAAAGATTTTTCGAAATTGGCCCATTAGTTTTTGAGATTACATAACATACAAATATACAAATGTTTCCTAGATTTATCAGTACTAGCTAATTCGTCCGCGTGAATTAAAAAAAAAAAAGTAAGTAGCCTATGTGTTCTTCCAGAGTATCCTTTACCAACACCAAATTTCTTAGAGATCTGTTCAGCCGTATAGGCTACAAACTCTAATGAACATCCATCCATCCAAACTTTCACATTTATTTAGAAGGAGTAAGATAAGAACAGTATGAGTTTCATAATAATTAGAATGTAAATTTTTTTTATAGCTCTAGAAATAGATATAGAGGAAATCAATAAACGATTACCAGAAAGCATAAAAGTATTTGGTGTGAAAAGAGTCACAAATAAATTCAACTCTAAAATCAAATGCAACGCACGAACATATAGCTATACTCTTCCAACTTTTGTATTGGAACCGAAATTAGTCAATGATGAAGAGAGAAAGCTATACAGGATAACAGAGGACAAATTGAAAGCAGTTAATGATGTACTGGCTGTTTATGTAGGAACAAAAAGTTATCACAATTTTACAGAAAAAAAGTAAGTTCTAAGACACAAAACAGTGCAAATAAAAGTCATCGCGCATTGCTCCACTTTACGCCCACTCAGGATCGTCCTTCACCCGAAGCTAGAGTGAGATAAAGATATAAATAACAAAACATCTTTTTTTGTTTACTCGGGTGGAGCGGGGAGTGGGTGAATGTGGATAACCTCAATTTTCTACCTTTATTTTGTTGATTTATTAATAAATTTTTATTTCAGACATTACCAAGATCCTTCCGCATCAAGATATATGATGGGGTTCACATTAGATAGAGTTTTTGTTGATTCCGAGTGGGAGTTTGCAGAGTTACTAGTGAAGGTAAATTTTGTTGTATTATAACGTGACAAACACGAAAGTTTGGAATTCGCCAAAATAGCGAAATAACCGCTGCTTGATGTTTGAATTTGAAGATGCATAGCCTGTAACAGAAGGGCGCACATGAAGAGGATATTTTCCCCTGCATGTCATTTATGCATCCCACCTTCTTATAAAACAAGGGTCAAGGGAATAGGACTTATGGCTCAACCTTTTTTCAAAAAAAAAAAATCAGAAAGTAGTAGTTATAATAAACTAGCTGTTCTCGCGCGGCTTCATCCACAAAAAATTATAAAAACTTTTATTGTTTACATTTGTCAAAATCTTATTTTTTTGCAAATTTCAAAATACTAATTACCTTACTATGGCAATCTTGCTTCTTGATGTTGGCAGCTCGTATCGTATGGTTCTTTCCCACATTGGGGTTTTTATCAAAACATTTACCCCCTAAGTTTAATGGTGTGAAAATATATAGCCTAAAGCCTGACGTAAATGTAGGGCTTTTTATTAAAAAAAGAATCATTCAAAAATATGCTGCAATTGCTGAGAACTTAGGCAACAAAGAAGTGTGTGTTTACGCTTTATTATAATAGTATAGATGTACAGTCAGCTATAAACATAATTACGGGGTAAAAACAGTAGCAATGTTTATAATTTATTTTTTCAGTGTCTTTTTGTAATCAAAAGTGTAGTTTCAAATTACATAAGGCAAATACATGTTAGTTTCCCCTAACAATTAATAACCTCAGTCCAACTTTTAATAAATTTGAATTTTTAGGGTCAAAGTTTCATGCTGCATCAAATCAGGAAGATGGTTGGTCTGATGATAGCAATAGTGCGAGGAAATACCGATATTTCTACGTTAGAGAAAGCATTTAACAAAGACAAAGTGATGATCCCGACTGCACCTGGTCTCGGATTAGTACTGGATAAGGTAATACTTTTTTATTTACTTATTCATTTTAATGTCAAGTCAAATAGAATAAAGGATGGATAGTTTTATAAGAATGTTTTGATATTCAAATATATATCTGTTAGACTTTGATGGTTCCTATGTAGCGACAATCGAAAATCCTATGTAGTAACAATTCTGAGATTGACACCATCATTTTTTTTTCATATTGAAGAAAATTAATTTGTGTGTAATGTAAGTTAGAAATTGTAAAAATTCATATTAATGTTTTATCTTGCAAGCTTTCTAGATATATGATAGTTTACTTAGGAGCCATTGATTGATTTTTTAAAAGAATTACAATACCTTTTTTAATGTTGCCGAATTACAAAGAGGTTTTTATTATTAAATTTTCTCCAGTTACCCCGAAATGGTCCGTTACTTAGGGTAGGCTCCGAGCCCCTCGGTGGGGACTTATAGTAAGCTGGTGATGATACCCCGAAATTACTGGATTTTATGCCTGTAAGGTTTTTACGTGTTCATATAAAAAGAATTAGCTTACAAAGAGTGTCTTCTTCGAGATTATGTTCTACATCTGTGCCAAATTTCATCAAAATCTATTGATCCATTCCGGGGATGCCTTCTAACATCCATCTAAAATTCGCATTTATAATATTAGTACTTAGTAAGATTTCTTCTCAGGTACATTATGAAAGGTATGACGCAAAATTCAAAGACAGCCACGACAGCCTCACTTGGGAAGAACAAGAAGAATCAGTGAAAGCATTTAAAAGGGATAGAATAAACCCTAACATAGTGAAGGGTGAAATTGAAGGGAATTCAATGTTATTATGGCTCGAGAAACTTGCTAAACACAATTATGAGCCATCGGAAGAAGTTCCCAGTGAAAAAGAGAACGGACAATTGAATGAAGAATCAGATGATGAAGGTTTAGATGATAAGGAAAATGGTGATGAAGTTGTGATGAATGATGAACAGAAAGATTATAAAATGAATGGAATTGAGAAAAGTAATGAATCAATGACATAGATAAGATTAAAGTGTATTTCTCAAATATGTCAACGGAACTTCGCACGAGTTATCGAAGCGTAGTTGTACGGGAGGAGGTGAACTGCTGAAGGTGAAGAGGTGATAAATGTTCATTAAACGAAAAATGATGATAAAGCGAATAATCAATCACTATGAGAGTTTAAACTCATCAAGCAAATATTTTCCCTACAGAGTAAGTACAGTCAGCTACATAAATGTGTAAACGTTCACAAATCTATAGAAACTTGTATGCGCTTTCAGTTTAAAGTATATGGTTTTATCTTATTCTTACACTAGCTGTTCCCGCGCGGCTTCAGCCGCATAAAATTTAAAACGTTATTTTATTATTTACATCTGTCAAATTCTCAATTGCAAATGTCAAAATACCAATTACCTTACTACGGCAATTTTGCTTTCTTGATCTTGGCAGCAACTTATTGTCTCTTTCCCACATTAGTGATTTTATCCAAAATATATTCCCAATAAGTTTAATGGCATGAAAATATATAAAGCTTAACGTAAGTGTAAGGCTTTTTATTAAAGAAAGAATTATTCAAAAATTTGCTGTAATTGCCGACATCTTAGGCAACAAAGAAGTATGGGTTTACGCTTTATTATAATAGTTGTACAGTCAGCTATAAACATAATTACGGGGTAAAAACAGTAGCAATGTTTATAATTTATTTTTTCAGTGTCTTTTTGTAATCAAAAGTGTAGTTTCAAATTACATAAGGCAAATACATTTCAGTTTCCACTAACAATTTATATCCACATTTGTTTTAGTATAGATTTAATACATATTCTTCAATATTCAAGTTTCTAAAATTTGGTAAGTGTACATTTGTGTAGCAGACTGTACTATTCCATACATCTCTATTCTCTTAATTTACTTCCTTAAGCTTCTTTCATATTTCTCTCCATCCATACTTACTTCGGTCTTCCTCTACCTTTGTAGCCATCCATATTCAATCTGAATATTTTATTATTTTATCATTTATGTATAAGATAAATATTTTAATATAAAAGTATATTTAAACATATTGAATTTTTATTTTATTTCCAGTTAAGATTTTGTTATTTGATATTTTTTAAATTCGAGGATTATACAATTACTTTTGCATATTTTGAAGAAAGGTTTCCGGTTTGTAAAATCATTACTGTTTTTCAAAATATAACAAAAACATTAATAAAATGCATCAACTCTGGCATAAAAAGCTTTTAGGTCAAATAAATATATTTGATAATTTCAGCATTTATTTGAAACTAGTTGTTCCCGTGCGGCTTCATCCGCATGAAATTATGAAAATTTGTCAAATGTCAAAATGACACGACACGATGACAACCTTGCTTCCTTGATGTTGGCAGCAACTTTTGATCTCTTTCCCACATTAGGGTTTTTATCAAAAATATTTATCCCCTAAGTTTAATGGTGTGTGAGCTTTTTATTAAAAAAAAAGTTATTCAAAAATATGCTGTAGTTGCTGACATATTAGGCAACAAAGAAGTGTGTTTAGACTTTATTATAATAGTATAGAAGTATAGATAGTCATTTTATGGTTGAAAAGAAACAAAGTTTGTATTTAATCGATTTTATTATGTATTCAAGCTTCTAAACTGGCAATAGCCATCTTCAGAGCACCTTCTCTTGACACATTGCCACCGATGAAGCCAGTACTGTGACAGAAGATGCAGCCATCAATACCTGACACATCGCTCAATACTTCATCTCTGACACCCCACCAGTCTTTGTGTAGTGGCTTTCTGGAATAAAGAATTTTATATTTTATATTTTTATTTGGTCTAAGTGTTGACCATTTCACTGTTTTTAATGGCAAAAAGGAGGTTATCAATACAAGTACGTTCATAGATTATGCCGCAATTTTTAATTATATTTTTTCATTTGAGAAGAAAATAGCTGCTACTCGATTCGGATTTTTCAAAATTAAAAACTATCAAGTAGTTTTTGCCTTTTTGTTGAAAAAGTGTGCGTAAAGTCCGAAATGTTTGTCTTGAAGTCAGTTTACGTTTTCGAATGTCATACATTTACATGTTACGATGAAGGAAAACATTGTGATGCATCCTGCATGTATGTAGATAAGAATTTTACTACTATAGCTAAATAACAAAGTTCCCAAACATCACTAACCTTAACAAAAAGCTAAGAGGATCCAAAGAAACCGCTTGCACTCTCCACGAATTGGGCTTGTCATTAAAAATCACATATTTAGTTTGATGACCCAACCCCATTTCCGTCTCCAAATCAAACAAATGTTCTTTCCATGGAAATCTTTCTTTAAATTCCAATATTGCTCCAGATTTGTGTACCTCAAATCTACTCTCTAATGAAGATTTAACATAATTCCGAGCTGGCAACCATACTGATATTGAATAATTCACTGTAAACAAAAATTCTTCTCTAACCATGTCCATTGCTTTTTTAAATACTTCATTCAAATCAACTTTTTGTTCACTATTCCATTCCGGATTTAATCTGCCAACACGAGCGCTTAAATGTGTACGAATTCTATATTTCGGTTCTTCTACAGTCATTGGTACACCATTGTCTATTCCGTCTATTTCTTCTATAAGGTTTTCATAGACTTTTTTATAGATAACTTTCAAGTTTTCATCACTTATAGGAGCATCTTTAGGTTCGACTGAGCGAATCACTTTTTCTCCATAGTATGCATATACTAGACCTGCAGAACTTAATCTGAAAATAAAAATTTATTTACAATACTACAACAATATGGAGAAAAATGATTATCAAGATAATAAATAGTGCTGATTTATATGTAATAACAGTAATTCAAACAGGTTGTTGACATTTCTGTTAATTCTTACATTAACCATAATTGCATTGCTTACCCTTAATTCCTCCTCCGTAAATTAAGGGTAGGCAACGCATCTGTAATTGCAGATGTTTCTGGGCAGCAGTTGCTTTCCATTTCGGTGGATTCAGGTGGCCACTTACTCGTTTGCCACCTTATATTATAAAAAAAAGTTAAAATCAATGGTTTGCGTAATTTAGATTGTTTCTATTACAACTAGCTATTGTCTGCTACTCCAACCATAGGAATAAGAAATTAAAAATTAATAAGTAGTCTCTTTTTAAACTATTTTCTAAATCTGGGCCAAAACAAGATTTGGTGAGCCGTTTTGGTGTAAATGTAACAAATATCCATTAAAAATTTCGCATTTATATTACTAAGATACAACTTACTTGATTTTATACTTATCACCTAGTTCTGGTCTCACAGTGCTTAATGTTTCATTAAATTCTCTTTGATGATGATCATAGCGTTGTTTTTCGTGGTCAAACACAGCACCAACATCTACCACTATGTCACATGTATCTAACTTCGACATATCTCTTGTACGAATTATCTCCGCGTCTTTGAAGATAGGTAATAGTTTAAGCATGCAGCAAGCCAGGACTTCGTCGCAGTGGAACACGCCATCGTGAGTGCCAATCTGCAAATAGAAAGTTATAAAGATTTGTATTGTAAAAATGACTTCAAAGTATGAAAAACCTGTTAGATTACAGTATTATAACGTGAAGAGTAATTCAAAGTTAAGAAAATGTGATGTTTAATTCAGTTAAACATAATTTAGATTAAATTAAACTGTACCTTCATGATTGTTGAATTAAAACGTTTGATAATGTGGTATTTATTTGATTTTGATGAAAGATTTATAAAACTGGTAATGTTATAGACAATATTTTTAAACATTACGGTAAAACATTTTATAAAAGAAAGTAAATACTACGATTTTTAGACAAAACACTCCTATGTGGATATATTAGGTTAAGAGCTGAGTTGTCATATTTTGTCAGGTGTCAATGTCAATGTCAAACCTAAGAGCAAATGCGTATCAATGCAAAGTCCGGAAAAGTAGAAAAAAAATTAACGACTTTGCCTTTTTGAAGTTCATAAAACATGAAAAAACAAACAACATTACATAATAAATTCTGTGTCTTCAAACATGCACTGAATTAACGTACTTGATTACTTTTTATTTTGAACTTAACTTTTCTGTAGCATAATTTACTCTTTGGAAATACCTCCTGGGAAATGTGCTACTAATATAACTAGATGGCGCTGATTGTTCTCTAACATGAGAATTATTTTTCCTGTTAATTACCAAAATTTTACAACAGAGGGAGCTAACTGTATTTAGAAATCCATCATGCGTTTGCGTTAACATGATACCTCGCACTTTTATTCCGGCCTTAACTATTTTATAATAATAACGCATGAAAGTTTAAATAACTAATTGAGTTTAAGTTTTGTAAAGTATAAGTCTTGCAGTGATTTTTTTAAAATAATTGAGAACATTTTTGCTAAACAGGTCTCACGTCAGTGGGAACCCACATGTCTTGTAAAAATGTGGCCACTATCAATATCTTTTTAAATCGTTAATCGATCATCGTTCGAGATTGCTTCATACATTTTTGTAACATATTCCTATGACGACACATACAGTAATTTCTCACTGACGAAACGTTACGTTACGAATTGTGTGAAAGAGCATATACTAAAGGGAATGATGTCAGATATGACGACTGATAGAGATGTATGGAAGGGCACATACTGTGTCGATCCTCTCTAGAGGGATAAGTTTGTTGATCTTATAATATTTAAATGTACAATTTGTATTGTATACGTATTTATATCGTCCCCCCGTACTACTCTCTATTCCCTCTCTCTCTCCTACTCCCCTAGAAACGGAGAGCTTTTCGACCTCTAACTACGTCATCTCAGTCATCAATCTCTTCTTGATTATGTCACCTTACACGCAATCCATCCATCTCTTTCTACGCCTACCTCTACCGGTGTACTTCCACACTATTAATGTAATTTAATATGAACAGAATTCCAATCGATGCAATCATTTGTTCCCTCGTAAAATATCCATATGTAACTACACAGCCCACCTTTAATAAGATATACTGACCATTAACAAAACAAGAGTCCCGAAATATTTTTCTTGCAGATGCAAAAACAAATTGATACGTGCTTAGTTTTCCAATGGCGCATCTTCGGTTCCAAAACCAAATTTGGAAAACGATAAAACATGTCTAGTGATGTTTGTGTTTGTCGATAAATTCACATATCGATATCGATAATCCACTAAAGATATTTAAAATCTCATCTTCTCTACTATTGTAAAAGTATTTAAGGGTACTGCAGAAATTCTTTAGTTCGACAGATATTGAGTCTTGTTAGTCTTAGTTATTAAACAATAATATCATACTTTACAATCCTGCAACGAATTACGTTGTTATTACAGCTAGAATTGTAGAGCTAGTATTTAACATACTTTTTCTCATAGTTTAATAAAAGAACGATAGTCAAATTGAAAATCTTTTGGCATTTAAGTTAGCTTTACTCTACCACTTTAAAAAATCTAATTCAGTAAGTAGGGTTACAAAAATAAAAATTAATTTTTCTCGATATCGATATCGATATCGATATCTCACATTGGTGTCGCAGCCCTACCTCGCATGGCAACTGAGGGCATCATTGAGTTGCTCGCCGCTGTATGGCGAAGGCATCTTACTGCAGAAATCAGTAATGAACAACAATTAACAGGCATTTAATTGCGCTACCGATTTTAGTTTGAGTAATTTTCATTGTCTTTTTTATTGTTTATAGCATTGAACTACTAAAGATTTCATCAAGTTATCTTTAGTACACTACAGGAGGCCTAGCACGAAAATTTGTAAAATAAATCAACGACATTTTAGTCTTACTAGCTTTCGTCCACGACTCCATCCGCATGCAATTAAAAAAAAGTCAGCCTATGTGCTCTTCCAGACTATTCTCTACATCTATGCCAAATTTCATCGAGATCCGTTTGTTGGGATAATTCTCAACCGTCACCCCCTCTGTCCACAATGAGAATAAAAAGTTTCATCCGTCCCACCTTTTAGTCCTATCACCAATAAGGTTACAGATGCGACCGTTATGAAATAAAATAAGTTCAAACCGTCCCGTTGTGGCAAAAAGTGGGACGGATAAAACTTTTTATTCTCTGTTCCCAATGGGGACAGAGCGGGGTGACAGTTGGGAATAATCCATTAGTTGATTAGGCTACAAACTTTAACAAACATCCATCAAACTTTCGCATTTATAACATTAAGATTTGTTAGTGTACTTTACGCCTGATAGAGGCTGCACAAATTTTGTCGAATGCTTTTATGAAATTCGAGCTATGCCCCAAGTTCATACTGGAATATCGAGTAGCTACGAAAACGCTCTACCTAACCGCATTGTATGTTTAATATTATCATGAGACAACGCTAGTTTCATCAAAATAGTAAGTAACTTGTACACTTGTAATAAAAATGTGTCACGTTGTAATGTTTTTGGCTTTTAATTGTTTTAATGACTTCCTAAAAGGAGGTTATGAATTCGTGTGTATTTTCTTTGATTTGAAAGGCATCGGTGGCGACGCGTGAGTTTATTTAAACTCAACCGTTTTGTACATTTTATTAACATGTTGCCGTTACGTTGGCACTATGTTACATCATCAAAGTTGACTTTAAGTTGAAAAATATTAAGTATGAAGTAATAATGATGTTAACTGGGAAGAGGGAAGAAGTTCTTTATATTCCGAAATTTCCAAACGTCTCTTTTCTGCAATTAAGTATAACATAATCGCGAAAATTGTGTCAGTTTTCACTGAGCTTATAACCGCGCGATTCCATCGTTGACTTATATGCGTCTTCATATAAAATAGCGCGGTTAAAATCTAGTTAACTACCAAGTAGAAACATAAATTACAATGAATGACATAAAAATAAGATTATTTTCTCTAACAATTTCGATAATAATTCGTGCATAAACATACAAATGTATTCTTAAAACCTCTATGTCCATTATAATAAAGAACGTATACAAAAACCGTACATTTTTGTACAAATCTGCGGGCCATTAAAGTTCGCTGTACTATAATGACTAAGTAATAATCGACCTTATGACGTCAGAGGAAGTGCTACGTTTTAAGTTCAACCGCTTAAGTTAGGTGTTAAGTTAAGAAAAATGTCCTTCGGATTTGAACACATGTTTTCTCTTTAATTTCTACTCTCTTTTGTTTACGAATCTGGAATAAAAGATTCGATGTCAAGTAATTTGTGTAAAAACAGTATTATTCCTAAATGTGCTGTAAATATGGTGACCCTACATTATAGTACTGCCTGCACTGAATTTTTTAAAGCGGGCGCACACCTTTGACTACACCACCATCAGTATTGCAATTGTTTTGCAGCCAACTCAACTGTTTAGTTGCACAATGAAAATCGAGTAGTGTGCGGCACCATAAAAGGTCATAGGCATCAAAGCGCGACTAAACAGTTGTGCGATAGTTTAGTCAAGTTTAGCGCACTTGTAATTATAATTGCCCTTTCTTAAGTAACATAGTTTATTACGCAATATTACGAATCTCATGTTATCGAATTTATTTGGAATTTGACCTCATTAATGCATAAAATTATTATTTTATTTTAGAACCGATTAAAAATCAATTTTGTGAATTCCGATTGATTTGTTCACAGCATTTAAATGATAATTGAAGAGCTATAAATAAAAAAAAAAACTATATTATTACATGCGACAGAAATACCGAAAGAAAATCCTTATCTCTTAACTTGCCGGTACACACTTGGCCAGTTGCGACAAGGCATAGATTGTATGTACTCTAGCGCTAGCGTTAACAGTCCAGTCATTGAGAGCTACTGACCAACTGGACTAGTGTGAACAGTGCATAAGGTTTGCATGAACCCACTGGCCAGCGGACTAGCTCTGCCAGAAAAGTTCACTTGAAAGTACTAACTTCAGTAAGCTCTACCTATGTCTTGAGGTGTTTACTTAGGGTTAATCTTTTACATGAGGTACGAAATGTTACCGAAATCATGAAACATCACGAGAAGGGGACTGAAATAGCATAGCATGTGTATTTTTTGACTGGTGATGAAAAATGAATAAAAAAATGGTTACGTGAGTTTGTTTATGGTTGAAAGGGTAGTCTGAAACCTCATTATTATCATTGAAGGGATGTGAAAGTTGCTAAAAATCACGATAATAATGGACCCGTTAGTATCTAAGGCAGTTTGCTCTACATAATTAATTACGAACTATAATAGGAAAGTAATACATGAGCGTTATAGAACGTGTTTACGGAAGGTACTTAAAGTGGGTGAGTAGGAACATTAAATTGTTTAGATTAGTTAAGTTAACCACATATAAGGCAGATGGGTTACATTTTTCAATTCCAAAATGAATCTTATCGAATTTGTTTGAACGTTAAAACGTCCGTTTGTGCAATCGCGTAAGCAAGTGAAAGGGCAAGTAAACACAAAAAATTTTTCGGGAAGTCCGTAGTAATTCGTCTGGTTTTTGTTAGTCGGTTCGCGCTACTTGAGGTGTGGAAGCTTTTGAAGACACTGTATCGGTGGTCGAGTCGAGTGTCGAGATATCCGAATAGCCGGCGAACGCCAGTATCGCGCGAGAGCCCGCCCGGGTCGGACATGTAATGTCGCACCGAGCCCCCACCAAGTCGCGCACCCGAAAACGTTCCCGATAAAACATTCGCTAACATAATCAAGTGTTCGAATCGTGCTAACAAAAATATATATTAAAATATCACACTCGGAAACACGGCGGCCGCGGTTTAGACGTTCGCGAATATATTTTTTGAGGTTATAATTTTTCGCGCTAGTTTTACGCGCGATTCGAAAAAGTGCCGGCTCGGTATGCAGTTGCATAACAATGCAACGGACGAAGGCCGCTAGGAAAATGTCGTGCTAGTGCAGTGAAAATTTGCCTTCGGTGTAACGTTTCCACGCGGTGTTACGTGCGGCCGGTAGCGGATTTGGACCGATTTCAGTGCACAGACGACTTGACCATCGCTCTCTTACGAAACGTTTCCAAAAACTTTTTAGCCGGAAAAAGTTTACGTTTCGCCATAACGACAGTTATCTGATAATTATAAAGCGATCTTTAAACTCGTTTACAGTTTAGTGTAATTTAGTTATTTATTTAAGTATTCGTAGGCTTAAGAAAGCGGGTTTCTCGTAATAATTTAAGATTAGCAATTAAACGCCAAGCCGTGTTTCGACTGTGATATTTTGCGTGATTTTTAGTGATGTGCCAGTGTTATTAAAAAATTGCGTGATTATTTCAGGTCTGTTGGAAATACTAATATCCGTTACCGAAGTGTGAGTGAGAATTCAGTTAGAGTTACAATATAACCACAAGTGAATACGATCCTGGAAACGGTACGAAAGTGAGAACTGTGTTGGTGAACTGTGCGCGGTTTTACATACGAAAAAGAAAAAAATATATCGTGTCGACCGGCGTTACGAAAGTGCATAGAGTACACGTAAGTTTTTGGCCCATTAATAAATACATTTTATTATCTGTGCAGTTACGCACGGCTAGGTAGTTGAACGATAAAGACTGATTGCTGAGGTTATGACTATTACAATACAAGCTTCGTGACGTCGAGTAAATATTAGAACTATGCGAAAATATCTTAAATAAATATATTGCACGAAGATTTAAACGTGGATATATTTTTGGATATCATTTGATAAATATTGACATAGTTTTTTAAATTAATTCTAATTCAAACGATTACCCGGATTATTCCCAACCGTTACCCCGCTATGTCCCCATGTAGAGACGGATGAGAATAAAAAGTTTTATTCGTCCCACCTTTAGCGACGAGGGGACGGTTGGAACTTATTTTATATCATAACAATTCCATCTATCACCTTTTTGGTGATAGTGTGACTAAAAGGTGGGACAGATGAAACTTTTTATTCTCACGTTGGGATAGAGCGGGTTGATGGTTAGGAATAATTGGATTACCCAGTGGTTAGTGTCTCTACCATTTGGAACTTAGAGTCGGGGTGTCGAATTCAAATTAGAATTGATATAAATATAAATTCGTAATTCTTTTACTTAAATTACAGCAGTAAAAACCTATGTTAAAATGGAAATGCTTGTTCTAATTCTTGATATGCGATATTTTATAATTTCACTGTTTCCGGTATTTTAAAAGAAATAAACATAAAAAAGTACGTATAGTTCAGTAAACTTCCGTTAATATCTAAGTATTGGTGATTTAATTATATTTTTTGTTATAAGAATGTTAAATCGGCGTTCATATAGAAACTAGTTTTACAACTTTCGCTGTGTTTTATTAAAGGTGTATATGTATTGGTATTTGGTTTACTTGTGACAGCAATTTCATATTTGTACATAAGTTTAATAGTTCACGCCCTTAACCTAGATAGGTAGACAGATATAACAGATTTTCTTTTGTAGCACTCTCGCTTTTACATCCATTTTATAAATACATTCTTTGGGTTTCCGGCAATCTCAATTTCTACTAAATTTAGCATTGGCGTAACACTATATAAACATTTACTTAGTTTTTTTTATAAAATGGGTGGCGCATATAGTTTGTATGTTTTATTTATGTACTTTCATACGATCATGGTGTTGCTATTGTTTTTATCTGTCTTGTTTAAAAATAATACTGTTCAGACGCCTCGTACCATTCTTGAAAAAGAATAAAATAAATTGGCAAATAAATTCATCTTATATCTTTGTAAGGCAGCTAATGGCCAGCAATCTTGTATAGAGTTATCTAAATGCATGAATACCTTGCGCCACGTGTTTTGATGTCATAATTTACACTTAATTGACTTCTGATTTGTGACGTCATTTGGCGCCACTGTTGGAATGTAGAATTCTGGGCCGTTTTGATATTAGGGATTTTGGTGATTTTTTTTAATCTTTGTGAGAACTGTGCGAGTTAATCATATATACTACGATGGATGGATGGATGTTTGTTAGAGTTTGTACCCTAAACAGATAAACGGATTTTTATGAAATTTGTACAGATGTAGAGAATATTCTGGGAGAACACATAGGGTATTTACTCTTGTTTTCTTGTAAATGTGTAGTTGTTTATGAAGCTGACTGTACATATGTATGTTCCCGTATGATACGTGCTTAAATACTCGTAAAGAAAACTCATCTCAATATGAATCAGACGTTTGTTTAAATATTAGTCATTTTATTGCCTCATTCAAACTTTATTCCACTGATCTCACTTTTGGGTTAATTTATTTTAAATTTAATATTAAGAAGAAAATATCATGTGTAAAAAAAATTGAAATAAGAAAATTGTTACCTATTTTCTGTAGATTTTTTGTCATGGTCACCCTATTTTGATAAATTAAGCCAAATCGTTTAGGCTTATAAACGACCATTCGTAAGAGAGATGTGATATATTTGGTCACCCTACTTTATTTTTCAATTTCGATTACATTTAAATACATTTTTACAATGAAATGCCTCGTCTTATTAAATGTTTCTTACATTCTTGATAATATTTATTCAAGATATTTCACACTGTCGTTTGTCGTAAGATTTCGAAATTTTAAAGGAATTAGAATATTCTGAAAGTAGTTATCTACTTATTTGATCTTCGTGACTGTATAATTCGTACTCGAACGTCTAACTTTTTCTTTGATGTATAACCGTTAAGCGGTAGCGTACTCGATTTTGCCAAATTAATGTGACACTTCCAGTTGTATTTTAACTAGCTTTCGTCCGCGACACTGTCCGCGAATTTAAAAAAAACAAAAGCAAGCTGTATGTTCTACACTTTGCTCTACATCTATGCCAAATATCATTGAGATCTATTTAGCCGTTTAGGGTGGTAAACTCTAACAAACATCCATCTAATCTTTCGCATTTATAATATTAGTAAGATTGACTTTGTTGGAAGCCAACATTAGCGTTGTCTAGATTATTTATATTGTCCGGTGAGACACGCTGCTAACAGCTATAGTTAGTTCTGTCCGAAGATATAAACAAGCTTGCGATTTCACTTACACCCACCGGGTCTAATAAGTTTGGTGCACTGCATTGTCAAAGTTGGACACACATCAGCCAACATTGGCGTTGTCTAGATCCAGTAACGTTAAAAGTGACGTATCTAGTTCACGTAATTAATCGCGTAAGTTCATGACTGAAGTCACGTAGGCACATCTAGTAACGGCATATGCAAATTATATCTTTGTTACATGTTCGTTTCAGTGGATTTGCATTTTGGAAATAGATACGCACGTGTTAACTAGAATAGACTTGTTTGTGCACATTTAGAGATATAAAATAACGTAAAAGATTCTGAAAACAGTCAAGTTATGTTTTTTTTATTTATATAACATTGTTATTTTACTTACACTTTATATAAAATTACAATGCACGGACAAACAAATAACATGGTTTTTGCAGGGCTATATGTATATTCTATTGACGAAATTGTATTGAATTTCAGACCAAATTCTATTGAACGAGAATGGAAAGACAGAAAAAAGAATTTAAATGTATATTTTTGTATTACATTTTAATCTAATGATGAGGTTAACGTAATACCATTCTGTTGCCGGGTCGTTTCGTTCACAAGGCTATCGCAATTCAATACAATAACGTAAGCATACAAAGTTTGTGTATAATCAAATGATAACTGGAATGTCTGTAAACATGGGTCATATGTGCTAATCGTAAATTAAAAATCTATTAAACAGTTATTTTAAATATACCTTTTTTTACATTTGTATATACTATGTAATATATATATTCATTCATTTTGCATCCCGCTAGCGGCCAAAAAAAGCAACTTTTGAGATTACGTCTCATGCCACGATGTTTTTTTCATACATTTTGCATTCTTCTAGCGGTCAAAAAAGCAACTTTTGAGATTACGTTTCAACCAACATATTTTTTTAACAAGAAAAGTCAGGAACATAAAACATAAATTTATAAAATAGGGATATTTATTCTGCAATGATTTCGGACATCCTGTTGGTCGATTCCTTTTTATATTTGTTGAAAATAGAGTTTATATTTAGAGTCAAGTTCTAACGAAAAAGTCTTAATATAAAAATAAAAAAGAAAAAAATTACAGACGTTATTCTATATTTCGTTTAAAAAAATACTTGACAATACAAAAAAAAAACAAAAGTAGACTTTTTTTATATAAATAAAGGTCATTGTTGCAATCCTCCACAGGTCAGGGTCTTTCTAAAGCAATTTCTTTTTCAATTATACTCTATGAATGGCACACGCCAGCTTCCTTTGAATGCCTTTGTACGTCTTTCTTCTTTATTGAGCTTCCGTTTAACCCTGAATGACACGCGACATACTGAAGACTCGGTAGTAATAGTATCCGGTTCGTATTGTTAATGATTTCTTGTTTCTTTTTTCCAATACTAGATGTCGCTTCTACTTTGTAAATTCTTAATCTTTGCCGTCTACAGTTTTAATAGATATGTTTGTGTAGATTTTTTCATAATTCTCTCTAACTGTAATAAAAATATTTTTTTGTTGTTATTTTTTAAATTAACAGGAAAAATTGAAGTAAAATTGTAGATATGTTCTTTAGAATATTTTGTAAAATCCAAACCGGATATGACGACATTGAAGAGATGAGTGACGATTGAATACGTCAAATGACAAATGAGCGAGCAGCCATCGGAATTCGCCAAAATAGGAAGTATCACTATAGACATCCGCATTTGTAGATGCGTTGCAAGTACACAGAATACTCTTCTCGGAAGTGGATATACATCCACTTACTCGCTTCCCGGCGAATTAACTGATGGATAAAACTAAAGAAAAAAGATTTTGGTGTTAGTCGATACCATATTAAACGATTTCAACTTCATTTGCATTCACAAATGAAGAAGTAAAGCGATATTGCTCTGCGTGTACGCATCTCCGCATCTCATGACCGTTACGTAACACTGGCTCGGTTCACTCGTGACCTCGCGGGAAAATCTTGCGACTAAAAATATAACACACGCTACAGGAAAGCGAGAAATGTTTTGACAATAGAAAATCTGTAGGCGGTACAAATGTGCAAATAAACTGTGCCATTTTTTTGACTACAAATTTTGCTTTACACATTAAATACTGGATATCGCCCAAGATACCGTCTGCGTGGAATTAAAAAAAATAAAAGCAAGTAGCCTATGTATTCCTCCAAATAATGCCTTACATTTATATGTTTAGGCTAGAAACCCTAACAAACATCCATCCAACTAAATGTTCGCATTTAAAATATTAGTAAAATAAGATCGGAATACATAAAATGTGTCGATTATTCTAAGTTTTGATTACTTATAAATTTGCAAGTTATGTTGAAAATATGGATTGAAACAACATTCGGTTAAAATTGTGATTTGCGTAATCTAAAATAAAGAATGGAATATTTACTGGCTTTCAAAGTTTGTCGTAAAAATCGTTTATAGCTGTTCCATCTGTAAATAAGACAGTATAGTATTGAAGGCTGAATGACTCAAGAGTTGTAAAATAAATGCCGGACTGCCAAAGCATTTAGAAGAATATAAGGGTTTTACTGACTAGAATATCTCATCATTGTTGTAAAACCGACTTGAAGAGATTCGAAAATAGAGACCCACATGTCAACATGCTATGGAGAGTCAGCACAGTATATGCTACTCTTCCATACGTCTCTATCAGCTGTCATATCGGAATTCACTCCCTTCTTAGAGGCCTACATAAATGACAAAAACGACTTGGAAAATTTTTACAAGCAGGCCATCTTGATCATCGTTGATCATCGTTCTGCCCCACCTCTTGGTCGGCTTTCCCCGTAGATTATCGTCTGGGGATGACCCTGTTTTGTATATTAAGAATGCTTCGCCAGTGCAATCGGTTGACAAATGTAATTACGGTCGTAAGAGGTTTGATCGTTTTATAAACCGGTGTTAAATTTACGATTCAAGTAACAGTTATCAGTTATTCGATTCAAAATGTTTGTAAGTAACAAAGTGCCCAAGGTCATACAGGTGTGACCTTCCGATGACCTCTTTGCGCAAACTTTATAATGCGGTGAATGGGTACGTTCTTATCTGTACAGGGTGTTTGAGAAAATCATAAATTAACGTTTCTACGCACACGCATTGTCACACACACAGTTCTATGTGTGAGTGAACGCACGAGCGGTGCCATGCTGTAAAGATAAAAAACGTCATGAAATATACCGCGTTTGTTTCTTGACCCTATTACGTATTTGCTCGGTAAATTGTCGTAAAATAACTGCAAATAATGTGGATAATTATTATAAGACAAATTACTTTTGTTCGAAATACAGTTTACAATAATTTTACTAAGATTATAAATGCGAAAGTTTATATGGATGGATGTTAGAGTTTGTAGCTAAAACTACTGAACGGATCTCGCTGAAATGGCGTAGATGTAGAGCATAGTCTGGAAGAACACATAGGCTACTTTTTATCCCGGAATTACGGTTCCTGTGGGTTTCAATCTTCTTCTTCTTAAAGTGCCATCTTCTTCCGAAGTTCGGCGATCATTAGGGCGACTTTCGTTCTTGACACCGCGGCTCTGAAAAGTGAACGGGTGCTCTTTCCATACCACTGGCGTAGGTTTTTGAGCCAGGACGTTCTTCTTCGACCTACGCTTCGCTTCAATGGGTTTCAATAATTACTGATAATAGTAAGTTATGACGTCGAAATATGGCGTTTACACATACTAGTTTTGATATGAGATTTAAGAGGTGAGAATGTTGGAGACATATTTCCGCTATGTTTTCGGAATAGATAAGGCGCGGGAACAGATAACAGAAGGTATCGGTGCGCTATCGTTCATTGTATACTTCCTACAGTTATACGACAAATCTGTGCTACTGATAACATTTCTTATTTAAAAGGGTTCAAATATTTTCAATGTGTCTACGATATGCGCGAGCACAGCTTTGACTAAACTATCGCACAATATGGAGGTGCGCACACTATTTTTAGTTGTGCAACTAAACAGTTGAATGGGCAACGAAATAATCTACAATCACACAACACTTGTGCGTCCGATAATACTCTGTGATTACGATTGGTGTATAAATTGATTCAATCATCTTGGTGGCTCCATCGCTGCGTAGAACATAATTCTTTGTAGGAGTGAGAAATAGTATGCGGGTGATGCGAAATTCTCTGTGACCTTGAGCTGACAAACTAATTGAAACGATCTATATACGACCATTTAAGGCCGCCATACACTGGCTGTTTTTAATTTTTTTGTGTTGACAATGCTATTAAGTACACCTATTACTTCAACCTGCTGTTGCCGATTGCTTGAAGTTACTTTGTACAGAACCCTTTACAATAATATAAACGTCATCGCTTGAATTTTCTTTAATCAAAGAGAGAATTTTAAGCGTTCAAACCAGATGGATTACAATCTGCGTTTCTTGTTAGTGGCTATGTTGTCAGTGCTTAGAAAAAATCTCACCATAATTGGTTTTGTAAGGACAAATGAGTTTTTTATTAGCATACGATTGTGTGTTCGCGTAATGAGACTTTAATGTATAAAAATATTTAAATATTTCAAGCAAATAAATAAAGTTAAAATGATATGTAATGTAGCGTTTGCGTAAAATGAAAAAAAATTCTGGAAGTTTCGACTAAGTTACTTATATTCTGTAATTTTTTTAACAAAAATCATTACGTTATTTAAATACACTAAAACGCATTTAGTTATGCGTTAATTCAATCCGCTAATAAATTTAAATTAATAAATATATTTATGTTAACCATTATCTATGTTAAAAAAGGGCCATAGAATAATTTAAGAAAGTTTATTCGAAGTGCGAGAACACTCACAGTCTCTATTAAATCTCGCCGTCGACAAACAAACAAAAATCAATAGCGTTAGACGAAAAGTCAATTAACCTTAATTTAGGGAGCGGAGACCTAAAATGACGCTTCAAACTACGCTCTAAAAACAGCCTACGGTCGTTCACATCTCTTGCGAAATCATGCGACAAATGTATGGCGCCTAATTGTTAAAAACTGTTGGTACACAATTTCGATACAATGAATAAATCAAATTAACATTTTATTACCTTTGTACTAGACTTTATTACAAAACTTTACGCTTGTTATTCTTGTAATGTTGTCCCGCTCATTCTGTTTGAAAAAATAGATATATAAACTATTAAGCGACAATAGCCTATTGGTACGGACTACAGATCTTGCGGTCGATGGTTCGAATCCCGCCATTCAACTGTCGTGAACCATATCTTAGCACAATCCGAGAGCTTAGTTAGAATGGTTAAAAGAAAATGTTAGTAAATTAACAAAAACTACTAATATTTTTTACAAAAAAAAAATATTGTTTTGTATAAATGAAACACATAGTAGCGATGTTAAGACACACGTGTATTGCGAAGTACTAAAAGGGGACTTGTATTGGACATAAATCTAAGTTTCAAGGAAAATGGGACGTTGTTTCTATTATGTTTGAAACTAAATGGACGGACAATATTAAATTATACTTTAATTCATATGACACAAGTTTAACTGTTAAATATTTATATCTTAGTCATTTATTGTAAGAAATGTATCGCCGAAATACGTAGTAAGTTACCATTAAAATTATACCAGTTGATACACTTACTTGACAACGCCGCATCCACGGGGGGGGGGGGGG